GCTTGCAAACTTTGGATCGACGCGCAGACGGGTCAAAGCACGCTTGTAGATTTCAGCCTCGTTAGGATCACGCATCACCACCTGCATCTGGTCAATCCGCTCCTCAATTTCTTCCTGTTGAGTGGAAGTGGGAGCGAGACCGGCCTGGGCAATAGTGCGGGAACGCTCCGGCTTGAGACGGGCCTTGCCTGAGATGGGATAATAATAAGCAGCCAATTGTCTAGTGTCGCCATTCTTGGGTTTGAAAAGCGTCAATGCAATGTCCTTTTGCTCGGTGTTGAAGACCTGAGCACTGGTGGCGTAAGTGCGAATGCGATCATATCGGTGGAACTTGTGGCCCTCAGCACTTTCGTTGGTGTAGAGGTCTTCACTGTCTCGGTTCCGGTTGGACAGGTTCATGCTTGCTTCAATATTTTTAACTGATTGAGGCCTCTCTGGGAGGAAGAGCTGGTAGTCATAAGGGACTGGGCCCGGGTGGGCGTAAAGAGCAGGGTTTGTATGGTGAAGATTCACTTTAGATTCATGCTCCTGGCAAACGCGCTGCTCGGGCGCAACTGGTGTCAGAATACCAACATCCATTCGCCTGTCCCGCTTGCCTGCGACGGCTGTCAAAGGAGCCTTATCAAACTTGAATTGAAGGTAACCACCAGGGTCTGGGAACCCTTCCAGGTCTGGCATCACAGGGAAGAAACCGACTGGCTTCAGCTTCGGATTTTCGGGATTAACGGGATTAGCCCAGGCATCGGTTTCTGCCTTCGTGGGGGGAAGACCACGAATGTGGCTATCGGTGTCTTCTCCAGAGTGTTTACTCTGGGGGTACGCGATGTCGAACCCTTTTTGGATGAATTTCTTAACATGCTTCGGGTCATCCACATGAGGCTTTCCTTTCTTCGCAGCGCGTGATTGTGTTTTAATGGATGCAGGGCGGGATCCATCTCCGGCACTGCGATCGACACCGATGTGTTGTGTACGGCGGAGGAAACTGACATTGGTATTCCTGGGCGCAGGGTTTCGGAGTTGCTCAATAGTCATGAGAAGGGGAAGGTCGGCAGGGTCTATGGGCTGAGGATTCTCAGGTGCCATGATAGCTTGTGAAGATGTTAGTTGCAGCAACGCAACTATTGGGGATTCTGCGTTGAACGTACCACTCTCGTCGCCCAAATGTAACCCCGGAATACCGACAAGGTCAATTGGCATTCCACCTTCGGCATCGACTTCAATGTTAGGCTCCTCACGGCGTGCCAGGTTTGAAGCAAACCCGGGGGTGAGGAAGCGACTCAAGCCCTCGTGTGGGATATCAAGGAACTTTGGGGGCATGTCCGGGGGAGGGAGATCATTGCGATAGCGGAGGGACGCAATGTACTCCTGGTGAAAGCCACCTGAAGAATGGCTCTCCTTGGATTTGGAAGACATTGTGTCGTCTTATCTGCTCGCGCGATTAACTGGGCGATCAATTGCGCATTAGCAACCCGCCGGACACCTGGACTGAGTGGGACTGAAGCTCACTTTAATGGACTAAGATTGAGTGGGATGAATTAGGTAGGATGCTGTCGCCTCAATTTAGGCAAATGAAAATGGTGGTTTTAACTGTACAGTAGCCAGTAAGTAAGTATAAGAGCTCGATTCAGAATGGAGGCGAGGGGACTGGTCGCAAACCTACCGTGAAAAAAGTCAAGGGCTTGTAGAGAGGCAAGAACAGCGGTAGGGAGGACACTAAGACAGTAATTCTAGAATCCAATGGTTCAGCTCACCAATAGAAGAGGCTAATCCAGACTGGCCACAAATGAAGCTGGAGGAATCGGCAAAAGCTGCTACAGACAGAGCAACTCCAGAGCTGAGCCTGAGAACCATCATTCTGCCAGAACTCACCGCTTATCAAAAATGTCGAAGGGAGAATGTGGAAATACAGTGTTATTCACGTGGAAATACAGGAGCCACTATAAAAAGAGCCCAAGAAGTGCGTGCATTTATCTAACCTGACGACAGCTCACAGCTGATCCCGAGCTTTTCACATGTGCAGGCTCTTTCCTTCTAGGTCAGCTTATTACCAATTGCAAAATTAGAAGTACTCCATTCGATTAGAAAAAATATCGAAATTTCTTTTGAAATTGACCAAAAACATGCAACTCCCACGCCGAATTCTCGTAATACCGTAAGCGAATCTCCCAAAGTACACTCAGTAGGCCCACATGCACTTGTACGCCATCAGCCGGGGACCAAGTCGATCATACTCTAGTCTTCCGATCCAACTGTCATTTGTGCCGCTAAGTTTGCCGAAAATACTGGCCCCCTTCCACACAACGACCTGGGGATCGAGGTCTCTGGGAGGTGTTCCAATCATGATCTCCTTTGAGAAGCCAGGGCGCAGGGCCTGCAGTCGCTCTTCCAGGAAGAGATGGAACCCGCTAGTCAAGCTGCCTCCACCGACGACCATTATACCGCCGATGAAATCCCGCATCTTCTTCTCGTCCGAACGAGCTGCGTGGGCGATGGAGGTCAGGATAGCATTGTCCAGGCCGAACACAGGCATTATGTCATCTCGATCTTCCACCGAAGGAGGGCGAGGGGCTTGGGCTGCAGTGGTCGTGGCAGCGGGTGTGCTTGTCCCTCCTGCTTGAGGAGTCCCTATGTTCTCCGGTCCTGGGGAGCCAGCGACAGAAGATCGAGGTGTGCTCTCCAAGTCTTGGACTTTGTTTAAGGCATGAGGGTATTGAGGGCGACTTGGTGTGGCCTGGACATCCGGCACTGCCAAGTTAGACTCGCCATTTGCCTTGCGATGAGAGGGGAGGGGAGGAGCCATCGCGGTCAAAATCTCTGACTGGGCTGCAGAAGTAGGATCATTAGGTGATCCATCGTAGATGTCAACAGACCGATCGATCAAGGTCCGTCTCCCGGTAATTTTGTCGGAGTTGTCGAAAATAGCAGGCTCAAAAACACCCATTGGCGCAAGGTGAACTTCGTCAAAAGCCTTGAATGTATACTTTCGTGTGTCTTGGCCTGCCACACGAAGGTGGAAGTCAAAGACTTGTGGAGAAACGCTAGCTTCATTCATGGTGCAAATGTTCTTCTTGAGCTCTTCAGCCAGAAGGAAGTCGTGTCTACGCCGTAGGTTGATATCGGCATAGGGGAAGTGATCGTGCAGCATCATTTTGATGAACGTTTCGGTCATGTCTTGGCCACCATACTTCAGGTTCACTCGGGAGTTCTCAATGCACATGCCTTCTTCTACGCAGCAGATCGAAGTCTTCTGCGCTCCAATATCGACGACACATGCCGAGGTAAAGCCGGCACCAAAGGTGGCTGCCAGACTCTCTTGGATGAAACAAACCCGAGCGAATGCAAACTCTCGCATCAACATATCTAAGACTTGGGTGACGTAGGATTTGTCGTAAAGATCCGGGATGACGAACACACACGAATACTGGGTCCAGTCCTTCTTGCTCGTCAAGCGCAGTTGATTCTTGATCGCATCTTCCACGATCAATGAAATATCCAAGAAGAGAGATCCCTTGCTTGTGTAGTCCATCTCATTGCACCAACCATTCCGGATTGGCCAATACAGCTTGTATCGAGGTTTTGAAGAATCCGGTACCCGCAGGGCCGGCTGCCCGACAATATATTCTGGTGGGGGATTAGAAAGTTCGGTCCATTCAGCACGCATTGGGTCATTGTGTTCAGAGATAACCTCTGGCACAGTTCGGCGGTTATAGTTAACTACCATCTCCTTGGAGTTTGGAAGCATTCTTCGCTTGTTCTGTCGCATGTGCACCTTTAAATCCGCAGACATCCGATTGAAATGAGACGACCACTATCAAGAACATTAGGACACGGCTATCTCGATAGAATTGCACTGAACGTACTTCGGGTCCAAAGGCCTTTTCGGGCTCCATTTCAGAGCCATCATCGTGTTTAAACCTCTTAGGCTTAGGTTCATCATGATCTTCGGACTCGTTGGTAGCTGCTTTCCTAGCAATTACCATAGGCAACGTCTTCGGTAGTGCGTCACTGGCAAGTCCAATCCGGAGGTTCTGACTGCCCATGTGGATGACAATAACTTTGGAGCCAGCCATTTCGGCCGGGGTCTCCTCTGCATCCTCCATGTGAGCGTCGCCATCTGCTTCACCCTCGCCTTCCGCAGTCTCAATCTTGGCCATAGCGAGGGCCCGGTCATGATCCTTTGCTTTTTTGGTCATCTTCGTCCTTGCTTCTTCATTTTGGAGTCGGAACGCGAGGTTTTGATCGTCTCGTTTCAAGTAATCACTACATAGCGCAAATCAGCATTTATCTCCTCAACTAGAGCCATGCGACAGATATCGGCCTCAGTATACGTACGTGTAGTAGTTCTTCTGGTTGATTGCTGGTATCTGCGGCCAGCTGGATAGTTCCATATTATTGTCAGTCCGCTCCAGGCCTATGCCAAGTATTAGCTGCTCTGCTGTGGACGGTCATATTCCATCAGCTCAACCGGGTGATCTTACCCTCATCACGGAGGGCCTTGCCCGACTTCTTTCCAACCATGATGGTATCGGTCCGTAGTCGGCTGTCTTCAATGAGACTAATCGCGACAAATCTAGGAAATGCGCCGCAGGTGAATGCAGTTACCTGATCGCGCTTGAAATCCTGAAGGGTAGTAATGTAGAATGTGATAAAATTGAGCAAACTCAGAATTTGACAGAGGGAAAGAGACAATGGGGGTTTTCTAAATGAGGAGCTCAATCCCGCAAGACGATGATCCCCCGATTGACCGCCCACACCGCACAGGCCGATCGGCCAAAGAACGTCCATGTGCGGTTGCCACCAGTGCCTTCTTCTCTTTCACCTCTATCTCATCTACTTGTGCCATTACCCCCTTGGCAAGTTTGTCATATCTCAATCTATACAAACTACGCGCTCCTCGACCTATCATCCACCCTCAACCTATCATCCCCGGCTCCATACTTGCCCGAATAACCTGTGAAGTGAACAGTGGACAACACACCCACTGCTTAATCATACACACGATGGGAGGCTCACTATCGCGTATCTGGTCCCTGCTTTGGTCCAAGAAGGAGATCCGCATTCTGATTCTAGGGCTTGTACGATACATCTCACTGCGTCCAACGCGGGGAAAGCTGGTTCTCACAAGTGTGACAAGGATTGAAACTAACTCATATTCTTTTGGGGATTTAGGATAACGCTGGCAAGACTACATTGTTGTACAGACTCAAGGTAAGATATGCTGGCCTTGAAACTTTGATTTTCTGGCGCGTTTGAATGAGACTCGCGGGGCTGACACCTTGCGCCTACAGATTGGTGAGGTTGTTACTACGATACCTACAATCGGCTTCAACGTCGAATCGGTCACATATAAGAATCTTAATCTTAATGTCTGGGTGTGTTTTACTCATCTCCAAGCTCATTTGGGTCATACCTAATCCCGGGATTTTAGGATCTTGGTGGCCAAACTTCTATTCGCCCATACTGGCGATGCTACTATGCCAACACCGCCGCAGTGGTCTTTGTCATCGACTCCACAGATATTGAGCGATTAGGGACTGCAGCAGATGAATTGGCAGCCATGTTGAATGAGGAGGAACTCAATGACGCGGCATTGCTGGTGTTTGCCAACAAACAAGATCAGCCCGGTGCCAAGGGTGCGGGCGAGATCTCAGAGGCTTTGAAACTGGGAGAGCTTCGAGACCGAAACTGGAGTATTGTTGCTTGCTCTGCTATTGATGGCAAGGGTATAAATGAGGGAATGGATTGGCTGGTGGTTCGTTTCTTTTCTCAATGCGATTTGCTAGTATCTCAAACTAACCATGCCTGTACTTCCAGCAAACAATCCAGTCCGAGAATGCATGATTTTCTGGCGTTCTATGTCGGGTTTTAGAATTTCAACTTTGATACCTTGGTGTTCGAGTCTCTCACGCAACTCGGAGGCCTTCTGCTGCATTCGAAGTGCTGTGCCACTTCTTCCCTTCGACTCTGCCTAGCTGAGTCTTTGTCTTATATTCCTCATGATTGTTCTGATGTCAGATTTGCGGCTACACATAATTGATTAATTGAATTGTTGACACCGAATTTCTGTAACAAAGAAGTTTCAGATTCATTCTATCTTCGTAATCGCTAATCTATATTGACACCTCCATCTTCATCTCCGGTCTCATCTGCCTTATCTGCCTCATCTGCCCAACCTGCTCGGTTTCGAGATGCTTCCATATATATCTTGGAATTTGGTACCATGTAGGTAACTGTTTCTGCTTATCTTTGTACCCTTCCTCACACCCCGCATCTGCGATACGACTTGGGCCGCCTATCAGATCAGGTTTCAACTGCCAACTATTTAAGCCAACTGTCCTTGTAAAGATCCGCAGAATTTCTCCCGAGAAGGTGATATCGAATATTCATAGAACCAGCAACATGTCAGTCCACCCAATCCCTCCTATTCAAATTGCTGCTGTTATCGCGTCCACGAGTACCTCTGTCTCCGCAAAGGTTGGGATCAAGAGCAATCACCCGGTGCCAACTCCGGGAAAAGGTGAAATCCTTGTCAAGCTCGAGTTTTCTGGAGTATGTCACTCGGATCTTCACAGCATCCGCGGTGATACACCTATGTTAACTGATGTTGCGGGTCATGAAGGTATTGGGAAAGTAGTCAAAGGTTAGAACTGTCTATGCCTGCATCAGATTGAGCGCAGCTCGGAACTCCTACTCACATTTGTCGTTGATTTTTTAGTCGGTCCAGAAGTTGACGAGAAACAATGGATGGGCACGCGAGTTGGTATCAGGTCTGTCTTCTTCATCCAAATCGGTCATTCGGTTGAAGTTGTATGAATGCTGAATGAATTTCCACTATCAGATGGCTCTACAGCTCTTGTCGCCAGTGTGAAGTTTGTGAAATCAACCATACCGTATGCCCGTATCAGAAGAACGCTGGTGCAGTAAGTTGTTGGTCGTCGCAAATCATGGATCTCCCGCCATCGTTTCCGTAACTGATTCCATTGGTGGTTTGCAGAATGTACCTGGAACCTTCCAGCGTGAGAATCTTTTCTTTCAGTGGAATCACCCAGTCCATTAAAACACTTCTAACACCATGCATCAGAGTATATTGTCAGTCCAGCACTCCATGTGACAAGAATTCCGGAGCAACTTTCACCAGATAGTGCCGCGCCTCTTCTGTGTGGTATGTTTTCTCCATTGATATTCCGCCGATAAGAACGCTAATCATTATATCCAGCTGGAATTGCAATGTTTTCTTCTATAATGAAGACCAAGACTCGCCCGGGAGACTACCTTGCCATCCTTGGGGCTGGGGGTGGCCTTGGTCATATGTACATTCCCGACCCAGCTTTCCGTAACTCGAAGCTTTGTTTTCTGATAAAAAACATCTCTTGTAGGGGAATTCAAATTGCCGCTAAGAAGGGCCTTAGGGTCATTGCGATTGACAGGTATGTGAAATGTCGGGTTGAACATCTTCAATTGCTCGTAAAACAAACTAACCTCGCGGTGCCTCCAAAGCGGAGATAAGAAAAAAGAACTATGCCTTTCGCTTGGAGCTACGGACTTCCTGGACTACAACGAAGTAGACATTGTCCAGGCAGTCAAAACCAAGACAATCTTCGGTGTCCATGCTGTCATCTGCACTGCCAACAGCGAGCGAGCATACGAACAAGGTGTGCAGATGTTGCGTCCCTTCGGGACGCTGGTCTGTGTCGGTATTCCCAACAAGCCATTCAAGCTGCCAGCCACGCCATTCGATATGATTGTCAAGGGTAAGCTCTCATATTGGCACTATTTAGAACGTGATCCGGTCTGACTAAGTGGTACAGGTCTCACTGTTGTCGGAAACTCCGCAGGAACAGCGGATGAGATGGATGAAATGCTGGCTATGGCCGTGTCTGGCGATGTGAAGGCGCAGATTGACATCTTTGACTTGGACGATATCAATGATGTGTTGGACCGCCTAGAGCGCTCTGATATTGATGGCAGAGTGGTGTTGAGAATCCCCCAATAGTTACAATAGCTAACATATCCATACATACTTCTGTGACCTTTTTACGATAGTGTTGACGGTGAGGGAAACATTTGTACTGCTATAGTTAAATGCAAAGTTCGTGGGGTCCTAGTTTCAGTTAGACCTTCCAGCTATAGGCCAAAAGCAAAAAGAATAAGAACAAAAACCGTCCCCTCGACTATGGCATTATTGGCAAGTTATGGAACCAGTTGAAGTAAGAAGTCTCCCAATTTTGATGATATAAGACAAAACACAAAATCACTCCACCCTGTATAATTTTATGGTGTAGTCGTAGTCCAACTACTTTGATAAATAGAATCTACGACAAAAAAACCCCCAGGAAGTTCCTAGGTCGAAAAATGCAGATCATATATGCCAAGTTTCCGAGGTTGAGTTAAAAAGCCGAGAAGGATGCACATTCAAGAAATTGGGGTGCCAATGGTTCAGGTGTGGCATTTAAATGTAACCGACCATAAGTGACACTCATCGTGTTATTGATGAAATAGTTCCACCATTGTGATCGAACGATACGATATGTTCCATATCGAAATCTCCGTTACCTCATTGGCATGCAATGCTTGCCTGATTGGACTCGACGAGAGACAGAATGATATGCTGCGCGGTTTCTGTGAATTATTGCTACAACAGGCGCGTAGTGATGACCTCGAGGTATTCCGCATCTCAATGGCTTTTGTGCAGAGTTACAAAGCCCATAACCCAGCGTGCATAATACGGGATGGACCTGTTCCTATAACTAAGCTTCGAACGCTCATGAATGGCTAGACTGGAAGGAACCTTCGTACCGTTAAGGCCCCAAGCCCTGGAGGCATGTACGCTTGATATGCATCACAGATCCCAGTTCAAATTATGAAAAGAAGGTTACATCCAAATTCCAGACACTGATTGTTTTAATCAAAGATCACTCACTTTATCTAACCAGATGAGTACGCATAGTCCAAAACGTAGTTCACCACTTCTAGTACATCCCTTTCGTATGTTTCATTATTATCTTTTCTCCATTCTCCTGACAGACCCGAGCGTGTTTGAATTGAATTCTTACGTGGCTGGTCCTAACCCTACCTTTTCCCCCTTGGGCTTGCGGGTCTATGTGGGTTGTATATGGAAGAGTCCTCAAAATCAAACCGATTTCGCCCTAATCTACTACAACACCAATAACCACATGAGTACCAAAACAACACCGCCAAAAAGACGTTACAAGGCCTCAAACGTAATAGAACCTTCTTGTTCTATGTCATGGCATAGGTAAAAGTGCAAAGAAGAGGGGGAAAAAAAGGAAATGGCGCCACCCGGAATCGAACCGGGGCTAAGACAGAATCGTCTACCACAATGTCTCGTCATACCACTAGACCATGGCACCAACGAGGTGATATAAATTAAGCTTATTTTAGCATCTGAGCCTTTCTCACCCCACCACAGGGTTGACTGGCCAGGTCCCAGTATATGCAAGAACAGGAAAAAAGGTCCATTAGGTGATCTATTTAGGAACAATGCGATCCAATTAGATGTAGTCTATATAATGAAACCCACCTGTCAAAATTTCATCACCTAGGAATAGTTTCTGTTCATATGAAAGGAGTCATATGAAAGGACAAGCTAAAGGATTTGCAAAATATGAGAGGTAGAAGTCAAAGTTGGTCATAGCCGAGCCTTGAAAGCGTTGCCCGATCCGAGCTTGTGATCATCGAAGACAAGATCGTCTGGAGATAGAACAGATTCTGAAGTACCTTGAGATTGCCAATATTCACTAAACTCATAAATGAAGGCAAAGCAGACGAAATGCAAGAGTGAGCATCGAGCGATGTAACCATGTTAGGCTACCGCCCGACAAATTCTGCATCCACAGTTGACACCGCCCGGGTGCAGAGAGCCCAAAAACCCCCGAGAACTGCAAGGGACGTGCGAGACCCTCGGATCTTGCTCAATTGCAATTGTAAGTGTCCTGTTGGGTGCATACTGACCTGTATGTACTATTCCATTTGGCTAGTTCACAATGGGAGTCAACTGGAGCTTGACCAGCTCCACGGCCCCAGTCACACCCCACTAACCGCTGTGTAGGTTCGATCGGGCGTTGCTTCGCCGGCGAAGACAATTAGCTCCACACGCAACAAGAATGACTTGCAACTCCGCAATAATGGCCTGGAGAGCCAGCGTCCGGACTCGCGCCCTTCCCACCTCCCGCTTGACCCAACGGCCGTCGGCATTGCTACCGAAGCGGGCCCCGCGCTGCCCCGGTGCTTCACGATATGCTTCAGATTCGGCTGTATCTGCGTCCGCCGAGGCAGCCAAGGAGAAAGTGAAGGATGCCACAAAGGAGGCCGCCAAGGAGGTTCCTCGCAAAGCGGGACGTGGCTCCAAGAAGGCTTTGTACGGTACCTCGTTGGCCTTGACACTGCTGGTGGGCTACATTTATGGAACCGACACCAGAGCTAGTGCCCACAGATACGCGGTTGTACCCTTGATCCGCCTCTTGTGGCCCGATGCGGAGGATGCGCACCACATCGGCGTGGAGAATTTGAAGATGCTCTACCAGTATGGTCTTCACCCACGCGAGCGTGGCGACCCGGATCGTGATGGCGCTCTAGCAACTGAGGTAATGACCTGTCCAACTCGGTCGATAGCCAATCACTGACATCATCCGTCATTAGGTCTTTGGATACACCATCTCCAACCCCATCGGTATCTCCGCCGGTCTGGACAAGAATGCCGAGGTCCCTGATCCGCTGTTCGACGTCGGTCCCGCCATCGTCGAGGTCGGTGGCACCACCCCTCTGCCACAGGAAGGAAACCCTAAGCCTCGAGTGTTCCGACTGCCCTCTCAACATGCCATGATCAACCGCTACGGCCTCAACTCCAAGGGCGCAGACCACATGGCAAAGGTTCTGAAGCAGCGCGTAGCTGACTTCGCCTACGCCGCCGGATTCGGCTCGCATGAAAAATCCGAGCAGCGCGTCCTGGATGGCGAAGCCAACGTCCCCCCCGGAAGTCTTATCCCAGGCAAGCTTCTCGCCGTGCAAGTTGCTAAGAACAAGCTCACCCCTGACGGAGACATCGACGCCATCAAGCGCGATTACGTCTATTGCGTGGACCGGGTTGCGCCGTACGCCGATATCCTCGTCGTGAATGTCTCCAGCCCCAACACCCCAGGCCTGCGCGACCTCCAAGCCGCCGCACCTCTCACAGCAATCTTGACCGCGGTTGTCGCCTCCGCCAAGAACGTCGAGCGCAAGACCAAGCCCTACGTGATGGTCAAGGTCAGTCCCGATGAGGACTCCAACGAGCAGATCTCGGGCATCTGCGAAGCTATCTGGAACTCTGGCGTCGACGGTGTCATCGTCGGCAACACCACCAACCGTCGACCCGACCCCGTGCCCCGGGGCTTTGTCCTCCCCGCCGAGGAACAGAAGACCCTCAAGGAAACCGGTGGTTACTCCGGCCCCCAGCTGTTTGACCGCTCTGTTGCACTCGTCGCTCGCTACCGTGCCCTGCTTGACCAGGGACCCCCGTCTACGACCGACTCGGACAAGTCTGTTGAGGTATCTAACCTTCCCCGGAAGGTAATCTTCGCTTCCGGTGGTATCACTACCGGTAAAGAGGCGCGCGAGGCCCTCAAGGCTGGCGCTTCGGTCGCTATGATGTATACTGGCGTTGTCTACGGTGGTATTGGCACTGTCACGCGTGTCAAGCAGGAGCTGCGTGAGGAGCTGCAAAAGAAATAAGCGGTGTGTGAACCCAAATTTTTTTTTTCTGGATTTGGTCTTTGATAGATCCTGTAAATAACATGGCTATGAAGGAGAAAATAATCTTCTGAAATTCTACATTCTCCGTTTTCTGTATAATTTTTCGTCCGAGAGATTCATTCGACGCCTGACAGGCATACTGTGCATTGGAAGAACCGAGTCAGGTGGTACCAAATCGACCCAAAAAAACGAGGAATTGATAAGCGTCGGTCAAGATAGACGCATGGCTTCGAAAGGGGTATATATAATTCGCTTGGATTGCTCGATCACTGCAGAATGGAGCTCCAGACCGTAACACGACCCCACTTCAAGCACACATAAAGTTAGGAGAAGTAGCTTCACGATATCCTAGACCCCATTGAAGTTGTCGAAGTCTAAACAAAAAGCCTTCAAAGAGGCAAATCTCGATCGCGTGAGAAGAAAAAAAAAAAAAAAAACAAAAACCGGGGAAGTTCTCCAGTGGGTGTGGCGGGATACCCCAGATAGGCTTCCCGAGTGGAGATTCCCACTTTTTCTGAGTTTGTGTCTAGATGCGTCTTTGTGGCTGTTTTCTGTTTGAGCGGTATTATGTATTATTCCGTATAAATATGACGAGGAACCGTATAGAGCGAAACACAATACCCCGTATACCGGTATTGGAGAGGTGCCAAAGTGTCAAGGTGTCGACGCAAGGACAAGACCTGGTGCATATGGCGTACAAGGTTATCATCAGCGAACAGCACAGCATCACACCAGAGCCAGCGTCTCCTCCACTTCACGAACAACCTCTCGCACACCATCAATTTCGTGAGCGAACCTGCCTAGAAACATCCCATCAACTACACGACCAAGCCCACCAACCCCCCAAAGACCAGGCCCCGCACTACCCCCATATAAGACACGCACCGTACCCGGCCGGACACCAATCACAGCCCGGATGCCCTGCACAACAGCTGCAACGTGCGCAACCCCCGCAGGCTTCGGCTGCCCAATAGCCCAAACAGGCTCGTAAGCAAAAATCACAGGCGCGTCATCCGGGATAGCATCCAGCACTGCACGCACCAGCACCGCACACTCCGTCACAGCCTGGCCGACAGCCTGGGAGGCGATGGGGCCGGGAGTGGTCACCTCGCCGACACAGACGAGCGGAACCATCGACTGGGCGCATGTTGCGGCTGCCTTGTGGGCAGTTTGGGAATCTGTTTCATTGCAGATGGCACGGCGCTCGGCGTGGCCTAGTTCGACAATTGTGCAGCCCAGGGCGCGGATCGACGCCGGCGAGACTTCACCTGTGTATGCGCCATGGGATTCCCAGAAGCAGTCTTGCGCGCCGAGCAGGAAGGGGGGTGGGGATAGGGGGGTTCCGGTGTTGGCCAGGTTAGTTTCGTAGTCTTTGAGGATTTGGGCGCAGGGCCAGATGGTTAGAAAGTCTGGGATTAGAGCTAGGAGGAGTTTGTCTCGGTTTGCGGGGTGGACGATCTCATTGGTTGGGTTGAGGAGGTCGCGGAGATATGTGATCGTGCGGTCTGGGGTGAAGTACATCTTCAGAGAGATAAGAAGGAGCTTCTCTGGGAGAGTAGGGTAATGAGACGCCATAGTGATGGGTGATGGGTGTAGAAATTGTGTGAATGAAAGGGCTAGTGTCCAGTTATAGGGTTGTGCTTAGCGTCCCCCGGGGTGGGGATTTTCGAAAAACTTGCTGTGGAAAGTTGGAGCGAACACTATAATGTTCACGCAATTTCAAGTTTCAATCACAGTCTTAGAAGGGAATTTCTAAAGTCCATGCGCTGCATTAGCGGCCCTCATCGTTCCGATCGTCCCATTAGGTTAGTGGGATGAGAGACCTATGGACTCCATACGTGATGTCATATCAGCCCAGATTGGAGTATACAAAGTAAGAGAACATTCAAAAGGACTTACTGCCACAGTTCAAGATTGACACGACTGTGGTGGGCCAAGTAAAGCCAATGGAACATCAAGTACCCCGGAGATAGCAATAAGTGCCGTATAGAACTATGGATGTATTCCGATGAAACTGGTACTACTTTGGCTTTTGCGTACAAATCGTACATTCTCTGTGTCTATGGTATACTATAGTTTGATTAGAGCTTTGATGAGAGTAGAATGTACGGAATACCATGTACAGCATCATACACTGCACCAAGGAAAATCCGGAGAACCTGGGTTAAGTTGGCAGCGACCAACAACATTGGTGACGGTGGAGTGGGAAAGTGGAGTTCCATATCTTGCAATGAGGCAATGCACATCAATCATTAGGGTTCAGAGTCTGGACAATAAGTTGGACTTTGTATGTGCGCATTCTACGAGAAGATCCCGTTGTGAGACAATCCCTATTGGTTTTGAATCTTTGCATTTCCGTTCCAAGGTTATGGTTCAGCCAAGTTGAAACAGGGCATGGGGACTTAGTGCCCGGTTATAAGGTCAATTTCATTTCTTTCTTCCGTTCTTCCCGTCTGGATGATATACAGCTGGGGCCATTACCGTGTGTTTCTCGCTACACAAGGTGCCCAGGCCATAGCCACCAAAACCAAAATTCGGGATACAACCAAGATTCCCGGCTCTTGGCCTCGAGGCATCAAGTTTTAAGCCATTAGTTGAACCGCCAGGTGTAAAAACAAAAGCCACAGCCGTCTTGTCCATCTTATTTAATAAGCCGTGTGCACCACTGACATCGATGGCTTGACTGTGGCAGAAGATGAAACCTGGGGGCGTAGTCCAAGCCAGCGCCAGCGAGGTTGAATAACACATCCCCTGTAATACGAGGTAACAGGCATGTATGGCCTAAAACAAGGCTCTTAAAGGATCCGACCTCGGGTTGACCTCCTTCTGGTGCTGACCACTCATAGTCCGTCCTTGGGTGCTATGATGCTGGGGGCGGGCCACCCCGGACGCTATAAAATACGCGTAACAAGATTAAGGGAACCAGACCATTCGAGTCTCTCGGTGGAGAACGGCAGATGATGATCCCATCAAATGCAAGGATTGGCTGGACCTGGGTTTGGTTGCATGGCTTTTTAAGGCGAAGAGAGGGGAAGAAGCTGAGCAAGAAGGTATAAAGACCCCCTTTATGTGTGCTCTCAACTCAGGGTTTCTTTCTGCATCAACCGAATTTCTCTCTCTCTACGGAGCACTATCTACTTAAATTCCATACAAACTGTTATTTGTACATTCTCTATTCTCTTGTCTATATCTTCACCATGTCGACTCCCTTCCGCATTGTCATGGCCTGCGACGAGGCTGGTGTCCCATACAAGGATGCCATCAAGGCCACTCTAGAGAAGAACCCTCTTGTTGCCGAGATCATTGATGTTGGTGTCAACTCATCCTCCGATAAGACTGCCTACCCTCACCCTGCCGTCGAAGGTGCCAAGCTCATCATGGATGGCAAGGCTGATCGTGGTCTCTTCATTTGCGGCACTGGTCTGGGTGTTGCCATCGCAGCGAACAAAGTGCCTGGTATCCGAGCTGTGACTGCCCACGATCCCTTCTCGGTTGAGCGCTCCATATTGAGCAACGACGCCCAAGTCCTGTGCATGGGGCAGCGTGTCATCGGTGTCGAGTTGGCCAAGAAGCTCGCTACAGACTGGCTGAACTACCGCTTCGACCCCAAGTCCGCCTCTGCTGCCAAGGTCCAGGCTATCAAGGACTATGAGCTCCAGTTCCGCACTGCTGCTTAGACACTTGTCATTGTTCTTCGTCTCGTCTCCCCTGACACCCAAACCACTCTGAATGTCTTTGAGACTCCTCCTGGTCTCGCCGCCTAACCTTGCCTTCCCACAGAGTATGATTCGTCTAGGTTTCATCAACTTGTCTTGCACAACTGTTATTGTCTTTTTTTTTCGTTCTCACAGCGCACGATACCACAAACGAAATGTTGCTTCCGCCTCCAGATTTTGGATTAGAAGGTCACATAGACATGTATATAGTGAATGAAATAACTATGGGTCAACTTCACTCAGACTAAATTGTAGACGAGCAGCTATATCCTCCCGGACTGCGCAGTGCAATTTGGGATGACTCAAAACCTTCCACGGGGATCTATGAGTTTCCATGTGCAGATGAGATGTTTCATACGATTTGGAAGAATTTACAGACATGCCCACAAAGGGCATTTGCATGGTGATTGCAGATCAAAACCTCCTCAGATTCCTCAGTACACTATATGAACTACTGCAATATCCACATCGATCACTTCTGACACGATGTGGCGGACCGCCCCACATTGGAGAACATATTAGCGACACGGGGAGAAACCCAAGTCCTTACTCACACATAGACCATGGCTCAAGAACTCAAAGCAAAGGGCAACGAGCTCTTTAAATCCGGAGATTACAGCGGTGCCGAAGACTTCTATTCCCAAGCGTAAGCTATCACATCCGACATTCCGGCTTCTCCGCCCCCCTCCCCTCCCCCAACCCAAAGCCGCAACGCCAACAACCAGTCAAATCAACCCCGAACTAACCTAAAACTGCTATAGAATCCAAAAGAACCCCAAAGATGCAACCTTCTTCACAAACCGCGCGATAACGCGAAGCAAGCTCGCCAAGTGGGCCGACGTCGAACGTGACGCCCGCGCCGCAATCGAAATCTACGGTCTAAAGAACCCCGCCGCCCTAAAAAGCCACTACTACCTCGCTCAGGCCCTTTTAAGCCTACAGCGCCCACAGGAAGCATACGACGTCGCGTCCGACGCGTACCAACAGAGTCTCGCAGCGAAGAGTCCTCAGACGGAGAACCTGTCGCAGACCGTATTGCGCGCAAAGCAGCAGATCTGGGCTGCGCGGGAGACATCCCGGTTGCGCGAGCTGAATGAAACTCTGGGCTCTGTCGAGGCGCTCGTTGAGGCTGATGTGACGCGTGCGCTGGCAGAATTGCAGGGTCGTCTAGAGCGAGGGGAGATTGGGGAGATTGGGTTTGGGGAGGATCAGAAAGCGTTGCGGGAGGATGCGGAGAACAAGATTAGGAATTTGAGGGAGGCATTTCGAGTTGCTTCTAACGGCGAGGTTCAGGAAAGGGTATTGTTTTTTTTTTTTTTTTCGTTAACTTGGTTGACGAGGTTGGTTGGTTGACGTTTGGGGTTGCTTCTAGGTTGTTCCTGACTATCTCATTGATGGGATCACATTTGAGATCATGCATGATCCGGTTATGACACCGTCGGGGGTTAGTTTCGATCGCTTGGGCATCACCAAGTATGTTGAGAAGTCGGGCGTCGACCCCTTAACTCGGGCTCCTATCAGTGTTCATGATCTGCGGAACAACTATGCTCTCAAGGCAGCCTGTGAGGAGTTCCTCACTAACAATGGATGGGCGGTGGATTGGTGATCGCGCTCTCTCCTTGAATTTGTACAATGCTCGGAGAATTTGTTTTCTCTTCTCTTTTGCCGGTGCATAGCGAGTGATATCCACAGCGATTGCATGTGGACATACATCTTTTGGCGTGGTTCTTGAACTAATTTGAATATAATTCAAGCGTTGAGGATATATATTAAGACAAATGGAATTTCCTCTTAAAATCTATCTTGCCAATTCGTTAAAATACCCATATAGTACAATCATGCGCTGCACCTTGTATGAAACCAACTGGCGAGTGTGTCAGCGACCCCACCTAAGCCCGTGGACCCCGCCCTCAACCATCTCCAACATCCCAACCATATAAATCCTCGGCTCTTGACTTTTACCTCTCCTCATCCTCAAAAACAAAACACCAAATTACAAAATGTCTGACATTACCCCCTTCCTCACTGTCCTGGAGACCGCCCAGAAGAAAGAAAAGTTCACTCCCGAGGTCCAAGACGCCGCCACCGGCATCGACATCGCAGCTCTGAAGGAGATCATCGAGAAGGTCGCTGAGCAGGGCGAGTTCGAGAAGCTTGATGATGCCGCCGAGGCCGAGACCCTGCGCAAGGCCTTCGAGTTCGCTGCCAAGGCTGTTATGATGCTGAAGACTGCCCCCGGTCTTTTGGAGAAGAAGGACCTCTACATCTACTTCAAGGTTGGCAAGGGCGAGGTTATGGAGAAGCCCGGCATGTTTGATATCCAGGTACGTTCCCTTTACAACTGATTGCAAGATCGGGAAAGCTCTGCGCCATGCATAGCACGTTCCTTTGAAGAAAACCGGTAGCTGACAACTCATCCTTTACAACCCTACAGAAGAAGCAGCTCTATGGTGCTTGGGAGAAGGTCAAGGACTACAGCCCCTCCAAGGCTCACCAGCTTTACATCGGCTACGTCAGCACCTTCATTGCCAAGTACGGTACCCGCGACGAATAGATAATACATTGGGAGAATTGGGCTTGGAGAATGAACCCGCAATTTATCGAAGAGGATAAATTGTCGAGTGAGATTTTGGAATGTCGGTTATCTAAAAGGGAAGAGATAATCGTACTGTCTCAAGTCTCTCAGGACGAACAAACGAATACAAATGCATGCTACTTTCCATGGCCCAACACTCGCGTACCTCACAATCCCGTATACGATACATACTGAGACAACCATGCGACCCACACCGCTGGGACGATAAACCACCAGATATAGCTAAGAAGACTAAAGGCAAAAACAGTAGACTCAAACAACCCAACTCTGCCCCTGCCAGTCTGGTAGAGCGTGCGAAGCAGTTGCACACCACGGCTCATCACCCGCGCCATACGGCGTCAACGGAAGATCATAAGGCATCCGGAACCCGACGACCATAGAAGCGGTCTCAGCTCCATCAGACACAACAGGACGATCCCGCTTAAAGCAAGGAACCATCAGCACGTCCGGCGCAGGGGGTTTCCCTTCCGCCCGGGATTCAGATTCAGATGCAGATGGAGATGCAGCATCATCACAACCTCCATCTCGGAAAAGCTCCGGCCAAACAACAACGCCAATCTCCCAGCTACAAATGCGCACCTCGCCACTAGCATTCGTCGCCGCACCCCACGCCTGCGTGGACAGATTCGCCGACGAGACCATCGCCCAGTCAATGGTCTTCATGTCTGAGTCCGCGAAGCGAATGTAAGTCTTGATGTGTGGTGCTGCGCGGGCGCGGCCTGCTTCGCGCTTTGGGGGATTGTCTTCGGATAGGTCGATGCATTGACCTGGGGGGAGGCTGTCACCAGCCCATTGGCAGAGATACGGACTCATGTATTGGAGTTGCTTCTGTTGTGCTGCGCTTTGGATTTTCATGTGGATTGAGACGCCGGAGTTGTAGCCGTTTAAGGAGCGGCGGATTTCGTCTGGGGTCGGGAAGATTATTGAGTAGGTCGGTTGTGGGCTGTGCGTTGGGGTGAGGGCTTTGAAAAAGACGTCTTTGAGCCATTTGTTTGTCTGACCGAGGGTTGCTACCGAGGAGGTCTTGGATTTGTTGGAGGTTAATTACAGTGCGATGGGTCGTTTGGAGATGCGTACCTGTATGACTATGTGTGGTTTCTTGCTTGTGTTTTTCTGCTGGATTGGTACTTGGCCCATCAAATCTTTGACAGCAGGCCAGCCCCATAGTGTCTCTTCGTCTGAGCTGGAGTCACTGGCGTGCTTTTTGGACGGGACACTAGCAATGAGGGCAGCACGAATAGGACAGAAGTCATAGTTATCCAGCTGCTGGACTAGCGGACCAGTCTTTTTAGGTCCGTACGCTTTCAAATAAGCGAGGAGATCTCTTTTGAAGCGTGCGCCCGAGCCAACTTTTGCATCTGTGGGAGATTCTACCGAGGTTGCCTTCTGCAGGGGAAGCAATGGAGAGAGCCAGGCAGCCTGGGTCATGTTGGTCCAATCCATATGGATCATGTTTGCCGTATGGATAACGACCCTATTTGGTTGGTTTGTTAGACCTCTGTTTGGCTATATCGATCAACAATGTCGGAAAGAATCTTACTGAGCTAGGTCATCATGTCGAAGAAGAATCATCATCTTGGAATGATGTGTCCCGAAAGGTTCCGGCATGTAGGCCACAATAGGCTCGACATTAGGATATCGCGAACAGGCCTCCTAAGTAGCTGGTTAGTCTCATGCTATTTTAAATCCTCGATCAATGATGAGATGGATTTAAAAGAAGTCTGGCCAGCACAAATTTACCTCGACTCGAATGCGATTTGAATCCTCCCTCCGCCACGACCCATGTACGACCTTGACTTTCACTAGACTCCGGACATCTTCATCAAAGTGTGCCATCAGAAAGTCCACATCAAAGATGAAGTTAAACTGCCAGCATTCACGGATCATGGGATCTCCAAGAATGTCACGTAGTCGGACCGCGTCGACATTATTACCATCCGGTAAATCTCGAATGTGAGTAAGTTGTACTGGCGAATCGACGAACTTGGTAGAGTGAGCAGTGACTCCGGTGCCAGAAATCACCAAACCGTCAGTCAGTGCGGGACAGCCCCGTGGCAACGGTGGGCTAATGGCCCTTTGGAAAGATGTCAAGGGTGTAGTAGCTGCGCCATCACTGGAATCTAATAAGAATCTGGCTCTTTTAGAGGGGCGCTCCATTGAAAGTGTTCCTGTGAGAGTGGTAGTCGAGAGTTGACGAAGGTTGAAAGGCGGTCGAGATGGGCGATCACGAGAGACACGAGCATTGAGCGATGTCGAAGGTTGTGCATGTTGTATATCAAAAAGACCTTTAATAGGAATTGAACCTTTCATTTTGTTCTGAATTCCCCCTCATCTTCATCATTCCATCTACTTTGGCGTCACACTTTTTAATTTTATTTTTGGTTTCTTTTATATTCAAGATACACAGTTTCACATCTCATCCTCAGAGAAAATTGCTGACTCGGATTCAAATTACGCAAGCTTCTTAATCTCTGCCACAACTGCATCAGTGACCTGCTTTGTCGTGGCATTACCACCCAAGTCACGGGTAAGAACTCCCTGCTCGCAGACATTCTCGACGCAAACCAACAGCTGCTTGGAAGCCTCCTCCTCACCGAGCCAAGCAAGCATCTCCGCGGCCGTCCAAAATGTAGCCACGGGATTGGAGATACCCATGCCAGTGATATCAAAAGCGGAGCCGTGAATGGGCTCAAACATACTGGGATACTCTCGTGTAGGGTCGAGGTTAGAGGTAGGTGCGATACCAATAGATCCAGCCAGAGAAGCAGCAAGATCAGATAGAATGTCAGCGTGCTAGTTGGTCGTCAGTCTGCATCTCTAGTTATTCTTAATTTCTCATTTCGACAACTCACCAAATTGGTAGCAACGATGGTATCCAGACTTTCGGGCTTCAGAACCATGCGGGTAGTCATGGCATCAACGAGCATCTTGTCCACAGTGACATCGGGAAAATCAACGGCAACAAGCTTTGCCACTTCATCCCAGAGAACCATGCCGTTGCGCTGCGCATTACTCTTGGTAACCACAGTCAACAGCTTGCGCGGCCGCTTCTGAGCAGTCTCAAAGGCAAACCGCATTATCCTCTCCACACCGTGACGAGAGAAGATAGAAACCTCCGTTGCAACCTCCCAAGGCTTTCCGGCATGGGAGCGGCCTCCCTGACCAGCATACTCTCCTTCGCTGTTCTCACGGATGATCACCCAGTCAAGGTCGTTGGGCCCGCAATTGCGCAGCGGGGACTCGGTGCCGCGGAACACCCGTGTTGGGCGCACGTTCGCGTACTGTTGGAACGGCTGGCAGATGGCGAGTCTCAGACCCCACAGGGAAATGTGATCGGGAACATCTTCTCTTGTGTTTAGTACCATGTCATTCTAGGCATTGATTGTGTCTGCTTACCAGGAGCGCCGACAGCGCCGAAGAAAATTGCGTCGTGCTTCTTGAGCTCCTCGAGTCCACCATCCGGGATGTATTTGCCGGTCTTCTTGTAGGTTTCGGAGCTCCAGTCATAATTCTTGAACTCCAACTTGAAGGTCTTGAGGGTATCGGTCAAGGTATTCAGAGCCGTAATACCAGCATTGATGACCTCTGGGCCAATTCCATCGGCTGGGATGGAGGCAATGCTGTAGGTCTTCTGGCTAGCGATTGGAGCAGACATCAGGCTGTTGTGGTAAAATTCTTTGTTTGAGGTGATCTAGGTGAGAGATCTTAGAGAACAAAAGGCTTTAAAAGGCACTCGGGCTCAAACTGTTAGATTTCAATCTCCACATTCAATCTGCCACAAGCCTATCGCATAACCCCTCATCGCAAGCCACTCGACTACGATCATCGCGGGGTGCACCCACTCGGACAAAGACATGTCCGCGTACCTATAACCCCGACGTGCATACCACTCGGTCGAGGAATGGCTTCTAGATCCTGCCTAGTACATTTTTATCGTAAACAAGGATATGCCATTGGAAGAACTTTTAATCTATATCGCAAGGCTCGAACTTGAAAGTGAATTCTCCCAACGAGTATCTACTTGATGTTTTCCACACCAGCTTTACGACCGATATCAATCCAATCCAATCCAATCCGCAAATGAAGTTGCCCAACTGAAAGCACGACACCACCAATCGAGTAAAAAGAAGCAGTGAATAACATCTTGAATAAAGGTCTATCTTACATTGTCATGTTCAACACCGGCGACCGACCTCAACAAATCCGCGACTCTTTGTCCTAGGTCTGACAGGCCTCCAAGGCAGCGGGAAATCAATATGAACCGATGCACTCGTGAAAGCGAAGACAAATCTACGGCTTCAACACAATGGCATTTGTCACTAGATGACCTGTACCTTGACAACGACAATCTCATTCCACTTCGCGCTGCCAATCCATCCAACAAACTGGTCCAAATAAGAGGTCAACCGGGAACACATGACATGAATCTTGCTCGCTCTTTCTTTGAAAGCTTACGCACTGGCTCATAGAGACATATCCCGTCATTAGACAAGTGAAAGATTCAACGGCGAGGGCGGGAGGACACTCAATGAGACGTGGTACCGTGTCCTTGCTGGGACAACAATTGACATTGTTCCTTTTGAAGGCTGGAGTATCGGAATTCAGCTACTGGAGGAAACGACTGTTCCACAACAATGGAAGGAAGGAATGGAGAGCCAGACTGCATTGGAATACCCCACGATAACTATGAGAGATCGTGCCGTTGAACACTTGCTGGACGCTAACACGCAGCTGCGCGGCAACTGTGATCTTTTGACGGTGCCTCAGCACTTGGATTTCCTCGCTCATTTGAATGCCAATACCTCGGTAGATGTTCATCAGTGGCAGATGCAGCAGGATCGTGCTCCGTGTGCGCGGACGGATCAACAGGTTGTCCGTTTCTTGAAAGGGTACATTCCAGGTTTATGAGCTATATCTTGAACAGTTAAGAAGACTTTTCGGTTTTTGCACACCTGATGCCGATAAGAAGAGCCAGTTGCGAGTTCTTTTGGATCTGAATCGGACGATGGTAGATGTTGATTTGAAATAGTAAGCTGGATTGGAGGCTTTCGGAGTAATTTTCCGGCCAGAACGCAGCCATCACTCGTTTTTCTTTTTCATAAATCACTAGAAGTTGTTGTGAATCATCCATGGGCCATCAGCCACACTCCATGAATCGTTCATGAGCATAGATGATGAAAATAGCAAAGAGTCTTGACCAGCAAAACTCGGATTGAAAGCAGAGTTTCTGTCAGCCATGTTGCCAAATATGAGACCAGCTGAAGACTGTCCACTGAGATAGTTCTCAGCAGGGTCTAATGCTTCAGCAAAGTTACCGAAATTGCTAGACGGTGAAAAAACGGCCGAGTCGTAGTTTTCTGCGGGGCCGAGGCCTTGGGCAGGAGAGCGTATTGAAGCTTGAAGTGGACGAATTTCGGTAGAGGCTGGACGGCCTTGGCATCCGTTCGGCGCTAAAGCTTGAGATCGAATTGGCGTGAGACCTGTTTCGCTAATCTCATTATTTTCATTTTGAGCTGGCAGCATTCGTGATATCCGTCTATCCGTCGATGGGGTAGCTTGGGAATTGGGTTGAGATGATCTTCCGCGGCCGTGAAATGTGGCAGTAGGCTTGGGTTGGTGCCCACTAGATGTCTGTGTTTTGAAAGCAGATTGCATGCCTTTGATCGCCTCGATGCAGGTCTCTGGCCAGCTGCTACCGCGCAGTGATAGGTTTTCCAAGATGGCAATCCCCATTCTCGCATACTTGAGAGCAGTCAGCACTGGAAATTCTTCATTCCACGCAGCATACATCAGAATGAGACAGGCCATCCAAGCAGACCAGGTAAAGCATGGCCAGGAGAGCGGAGATGCCGGTTCAGAAGACATGTGCTTTCTCAATGCCGCAAGGATAGACCGAGAAGATCCAATGCAAGTCTGTAATGCGTTCTTGTAATCTGCACTAGGATTTTCAGAGGCTAGAAGAGGTCGATTGAGCGAGATAGTAGCCTCGTGTCTCAGGATCATCAGGAGTAGCCGGTGGTATGGCTGCAAGATCGGTCCTTGATCCCGGCCAGTTTCTGTGGGCTCATAAATGGGGTTGACATCGTCGTAAACTTCATTCCACCATTGCGCTAGTTCTCCAGTAACATGAGCCGCTTCAATCTGGCTAACGCGACTGTGGAGAATGGATTTATTACGAAGTTCAACAATCAAACCTCGAATCCGGGCAAACTTCGCTAGATGGCCTAGTAGGCGCAATCTACAATCGTCACGGACTTTAAAATTTGAAAGATGTCTCTCCGCATCGGGGTAGCACACGTCAATGTCGTCATCTCGGATAGAGAGCGGAATGCCAAGGGCCTGGGAAAGATATCGCTCAAGGGAATATATTGACCAGAATAATCGACAACGGATGTTGGCTTCTTCGCTGCTGAAGCAAGAAAAGCGTCTTGGGCAACGATGCAACCCGAGGTGGAATGCAGTGCGCGTGATGACACCCCCTACCCGCGAGGCAGCATTCAGGCGCAAAAGAGAAGCGAGTGCGAGTTGAGCGGTGAATGCCGCTTGTAGCAGTGGCAAGCTGGTTGGCTTTTCAAGGAGGCTTTGTACATCTTGCATCACATGTTGGATGGATCGAAAGACCAAGACCGAAGGAACGGGATTGATCTTCGAACTACGCACCGTTTTCTGCCGATCATCACCGAGAGAAATGGACAAAATGGAGCGGAGAATCATCAGTTCTAGTTGGTTGACCGATTCAATCCCTTTTTGGCTGACTGTCTCCATGGTTTTCAAGACTGTCGGGGCGTGTAGGCATGGGAAGATTGGGTGCCAATTTTCGAAATAGCTGCGTGTCCACTCTACAAGATCGTCGAAAGCAACTGAGGCATTTGGGGCATAATTTAATTCCTCCTTTGCCCATAGCTCATCCGAGCTTTGGATGCTTCCTGGAATTTGCTGCAGCCGGTCGTCTTCCCCTGGCACCGAGGATCTGTCACGGGCTCGTGTTTGGTCCAAGTCTGCTGAACGGCGTGTAAAGGCATTGTAAACATGACGAATAAAATGGATTCCACTTGAACTTCCAAGGAAGGTTGCAGACCCGTCATTTTGAGACTCTCTCATAAATCCAATTTCGCGAGGCGAGGGTCCTGAGGCTCCCGCGCCGGAGGTGCGCTTGTGTCTCTTTGTCGGACGAGAAGAATATGGCCATTGGGACTCATCCTCTTGAAACCGCACACTGGCAGGTGAAGCCGAAGCCATTATCGCTATGATTCACGAATCACATGTTTCGAAATAGAGATAGTGAAACATGTGTTCCCTGGGGAAGAAATCCGGCCGAACACGGTTTGCTATTACGTCAGCGGCAGACGTACAAGCACCACTAGATCTATAAGATTAAGAATGCTTTTTGCTTTCGATTATATTATGTTGTTGACATCTTTTGATGAACACGTTACTTCTTACTTGAATGATTATAAAGTACCTAGGGCACTTTAAAAGGCACCCTTTCCGGGTGCAATACTTTCAAAGTAGCACATTCCTGCTCAACATCCTCAGGCCGGAACCACCACGGAGGAATCGTAAAGATTCATGCCTGTTCGCTTCCCTTGCATAATTTTACATTAGCCAACTAGAGGTACCACGTCCTACAACATTGAATTGAGCACATTAGATGTGCCGAATCGAGGGTTATCGCTGTGGTTATGTAGTATGATGGTAATTTTGGCAGGTTTCTTCGTTTTTTTTAAGTTGGCTATTCGATTCTACCACAGCCTGCAACTGACACAGATCCGACTAGTGAGATTTGATTTCCGCAAATGCAACCCATACAGTATCGGAACTGACACCACAACGGGCGGTACTATTCCAGTAACCGTCTGAAGTGTGATTGAAGCAAACACTGGTATTATCTGCACCTGCCTGCCAGTCTTTAGACGCCTGAGCCAGTTCAGTTTCATGTCTCTTTTTACCTCTCGACAAACCACCAATCCGTATAGTCCACACGTAGTATGTTGTACACCCGAAACAACCCCCCCCCTCATGGTGATTTATGCAGGATGAAATGTGGGAAAAGATACAGCCAATGTTACTATTAAACTGTAAAAGACACCTCGGTTTATGTTGAAGGCCTAGGGTGGGCCATATTCTATTTCGATATGATAATCCTGGGATGGCGAACCTAGAGATTTACAAGATGAATGCCAGTAGAATATGACAATGACACGCATGAATATCCCATGTCAACAGACTAACATTGGAACAACATGGTGATTTGTTTTAAAATTTCACTCAATCAAAACAATATCATATCCTTGTAAGAGTTTTTATATTGGTAGGTCATAAGCTTGGAGTTGCGGTGAGCATCACGTGCCTGCCAATAATCCCCGGAGGTTTCTTACTCCGAAACTTTCACCAAGCAAAATCACTCATGCACATGACCTTGGTAGCCTGAGATCTTGGTTGTCTTCGGGAGTTACACTGCATTCTGCATTGTATAATCCCGTAGTCAACAAATGGCGCAATTACGATCGAAGCGGAAGGCACCTGGTGTTACCATGCCAGGTGTGACCAGTACCCCACATGAAAGCATAGATCGACTGACTCAAGAGGTCAGAAGAAAACTTAAATCCGATTTCTTGTGAGCTATGCAGACAGCGTAAATGCAAGGTGTGTTATTCTTTTGTAAAGAACAACAAAACTATGTGCTGACCAACAAGGTAGTGTGATCGCAGACTGTAAGATCGATCTAAAAACGTTCTCACTGTTGAGTTCGATAGCTGGTTTCCTTGCTGACCATTCATATCTCGTTAAGTCCGTTTTGCTCTCAATGCGCAGGGGACATGTCGAAATGTACCTACCCAGAGAGTGGTAAAAGGCAAGTACTCAGGCCTACATACATGCAGGTACCCGCGGGAAGCTAACCCATTGGCCCAGAGGCTTACCGTTGGGATACTTGAATCAATTGGAAGAGAGGCTTGTAGAGACCGAGTCAGCCCTCCACGGGGCTTTGATGGTGATTCGTTCAATGGGACAACCAACAGCAGTTCAACCCCTAGCAAAGACGGATACCAGTCCTAAAAACAAGGCAGCTCGCATGGAAGAGTGGTCTCAGCTGCCCCTTCGAGAATGGCCTGATCTGGAACGTTGGCTAACAGTCATGTCGGACCGGTTTACCATTGAGCAGCCAAGCGACATGGTTTCAGAGACGTTGAGACGTGGCTACACGATTCCTATGACTCCTACTCATGAGAAACCGCAGAGCTTGGGAGATCAACCTCATTCCAGACTAGTCTCATATGCATGGCAATCCAGGGACAACAGAGTCAGTTTAGGGAGTGCATACGACGCTCATCAGTCTCACTCGGGAGTGATGGCTTCGCCGGTTTATTTTAGACACCAGGTCGCGGTGGAACCCGAACCCGTGCCGTCTCCTCGTAGTTCTCGAGACGGAATAATTAGAGTCGAGGATGCCGTCGGTGTTTCGGATGCACAAGCTGGGGTGAAGATGGGGCGGTCGAGTAAAGCTGAGGAACTGTCGCACAATAACCCGAGCCTTTACTTTTAAATGGATGTGCTCCGAACACTCACAGCAACCTGAAAGTCCTCATAGAGCCTGGGTTCCTTGTCTGTAACCGGCGAAGTCATTGCGGAGCATGCATGCCTGAGGCCTCGATTTGTAGTTAACACATCACGTGTTTTCTGGAACTTTTTCAAGATATCAAAACCCCCGAAGGCTTTGTCCAGTGAGAGCAAAACCAAGTTGAATTTATATACGACGTACGGAGTACGATACATCGCATACCATAATATAATGCTGGACCCTAGCGGGTTTCACCCCACTCCATGCAATTTTCACGGTGGAGTCTGAGATGAAGGCTTTCTAATATGTTGAACACCAAAAACTCCACTGGAAACCCACCAAACCACTCAGATATCGAGCAGAACACCACCATCTCGTTATTGGAAGTTCTCCAACCCCTCCGGACTTGATCGTTTGCAGGCACTCGCAGCATGACCCTTTGACATGCGTTTTTTAGGGGGGGTTGAACCCTCTGATTGGATGCTCTACTTATCTGAATTCGAGCCAACGGGTCACGGAGCACAGACTACTTTGAGCGCGGGACGGATACAAGTGATTGGTGACACGCCCGTGCCTTCAGACTAAGAGCCCGGACCGGCATCCCTTTCAATTAAATTATTCTCGGGGCATTTATCGCATCACGCTGTACGGCCACTCTCTACGAGGGTTGGCATTCAAATGACCTTGCAGACTTCAAGGGTGTTTGATCTGGAATGACAGCGCAGACGGGACACGTCGAACAAGTGTACGTTTGCCCGATGACCCCTCCATACCCAGGTACATATCCGACACCTTGAAAGATGACTCCGGAGGGAGGGGACTAGAATCAACTGGATAAATATTGCCCCTTCAAGATTCTAGAGGCGAATAAATAACAGCGTAGTTCCTATACTGAAGAAAGAGGCAAATCGGAAAAGTTTGGGTGAACCACTCGATCATTGAGAACACTGGGCCCTGATAGCCAGACCCTAACTGCACTCCAGCTGGGCTCCATCCGCATCCTTGAGGTGTCTTGCTACTGGTCAACCTCAAACGCTGGTGTAGCGCCCAAAAAACCCCCGGTAAGGAGAGGCCCCCCCTACACTCTTTTATCTTCCAACCTCCTTGGGATTGTGTGTCTTTGTTCCTTCATTCTCTCCTTATTTGTCTATTCTTCAAGTCCTAGATACAAAGTGATCTGTGATCCTGGACTCCTTTAATTCATCTATTCTATTCTTTACTTGTGCGCCACCTTTCCTCGACAAAAGAGACTGTTATTTCCCTCCACATTTTGCTGCGCAAAATCAAAAGAGGACTCGACATTCATTTTGTGCAGTTTTGAAGTAGAATTTGATATTCTATACAGCACATTGATCGATCTGATACTGGACATTCCAGTTGATCTTACATTCTTTCCGCGATCGTTTTGCTACGCGAGACTCAATAACGCATCCGACTCAAACACGCATCCGACCGCAAACCGCGATCAGATTTTACAAAAGAAACAAAATTCTACGCATTGCATGTGTAAAATCATAAATCAATTCCGACCGCGTCACAACGCACCGTTTTCACATTTTGAACTTGACCAAATCTCCGGATCGCCATGTCGACTCTTACAAGAGCATTCACCCGGCGCAATAAGCGCCCAGAAGTGTCCGCACCCATGCCATATCTTGGTGAAGGGCATGTGCGACTCAACTCAGCAAGTATAAAGCGCAGCAACATTTCTGGGCCGGTCCAGCTTCTGTCTACAACCAATATGATCGCCTACAACGCACCCGATATCAACGCAACCAGCGGCTCTTCATCTGCCTCATCACTGGGGTCGCGCGATGACTCCGACGCTCCCTTCTCCCCTCAAAGCTATGCGTCTTCGATGTCCTCGCCCGACGTCTCTCCTTCCGAGAGCTCTCCCATTGATGCAAACCCATTGATGTCGTATTTTCCGAAGCGCACGGCCACAGTGACAAGTCACCCACGCTCCTCAACGTGTTCGTCAACTACAGATGCTCCGCTGGTGCCCAAGCGGGCTCTGTCTCACACTAAGCGGTCACACCAGGAGCTCGTTCACAAGCGCTCGATCTCTAGGATGTCGCCACCTCCGCTGAACACAGCGCGTAGCACACCGACCATTCGTGCATCCGAGGACCTCTTCCAGGCCGAGCCGCATCCATTCAGCAAAGAGCTAGAGCAGGTGAACGAAGTTGTGGAGGAATTTGCGGGCCTAAACATGATCGATGATGAAGAGCGGATTCTCTATGCCAAGGGGCTCCAGAAGTTCACTGTCGAAGAATATCTAGTGGAAGTTGAAGAACTGTACGGCAGCATTTTTGAGGACACACATGGAACTATGACCACATCTTGGTTCTAACATGATTGCTTCCCCACCCCGGTTGATCCGGGCGATCAACGACAAGAAATTGCGGACTTGCAAGGACTGGATATTCCTCGCTTGACCCTTCATGATGACCAACTATTATTCTCTCTTTTACGACTACTGCCCCTTGTTTCACACGATACCATGGGAAGATCCTTTCCCGCGCTCGATCTTGAATTTTGAACTTTCTTATGTTCCTCCCTTAATAGATGGTCTGTTTTTTTGTTGTCATTCATTTGTGTATCATTTGGGGTCAACTGCTACATAGGATCCTTTCATGAGACTTGGAAAAGTCTTTGTAAAGATTCTTGGGTCTTTCAGGAGACCTATTGGAGCCGTGTAGTGTCTTATCGATGTTTCATTCAGATTTTAAAACAAACTCCAACAGACACGTTCAAAAAAAACTTTCGGACACAAGCACAGTAAGATGTAGAGGATGATGTATAGTTAAAACGTGACAATGACCACTTGATGACATAATTCAATTTTGCCTAAATAGGTATAGCGTAGGGCTCAACGACACGGTCACGGGTGCTCCGCTGGGCTCCACAACTGACCGAAGGAAATGAGGGAAAAATTTCGCTCTGATTTGCTTTGGATCCAGCAAATCGGCCATTCTGTCTGCATCCGATTTCATCTATCTCAAGAAACTGGACTTCCACGGATGCAGACAGACTGTTCCCATTTTCTCCTATTCCAATCTGTAGCATAAGTCCCAAGATCTCGACGTGAAAAAGTGTCGTGTGCTTGGGTTCAGCCTTCAATAAGCTTCGACAGTGAGTCCAAAGTCAACAGGATTTGATTTCTGCCAAAGTGCAGAGAAAGCAAATGTCGACACTGGCTTCTGCCTAGAACCTGTCCTACATCCCTTTCCCCTCACATTCGGCCATGGTCTCCCTTGCCACGACCTCGCGCAAACCGGCGTTACCGGCGTTACCGGCTACTCCTACGATATCTCGATCCAAGATGCTTTCGACTTCCTCTCCAGTCCCGATTCTCAAAACGTCGAAAGCTCCTCTCGTGGTCGCTGGCTCGAAACGAAAAATGAGCGAAATGGATCTCCCCTCCTCCCCGTCCTCCTCCCTGGCAGACGACGCGACGGAAGCCCTTCCTCCCACCAAGAAGCGACCCCGCGTGCAATTTGACCAAGATGTGAAGATACACGATGATGCTTTATCGGAGAAGAGCCTGGCAGTCATTCGGGAAGAGGTCCGAGGGGCTATCCACCGACATGTCACGATGTCAGAAAGCGAGGGGTACGACCGAATCAAGGGCATGTTTTCTGCCGACCCAACGAAAGAAGGCGATTACAGCTTGATTGCATATGAATCGCCAACACACGCATGTTTGAGAAACCACCTTCTCGGTCTGATTTCGCATGTCGCCTCCTTGGACCGCTCCTGCAGTGGTTTGGTTCATGCCATCATCAACAGCGAGTGGCTCGGACGAGACGAATCCTACGTGAAGCTGTACATCCGGTTCCTAGGTAACCTTGCCGCCGCACAAGGGGTGTTCCTCGGACCTGTCTTGAAGATGTTAGCCACCAATCTCGGGTCCATCCCTCGAGGACTCGGTCGACTTCCTGGCTACGCCGTTGTGTCACCATCCGAAATGCATGCCCGAGTTCATATGGCAATGCGTCATGTGCTGCGACTCATCCCTGCCGGTAGTGGATCACTCTCCCCTATTTTGTCTACCCAGTTTCCCTTCGACTCAGATTCAGCTAGCGCGAACATCGCCTACACCCGAAATCTCATCCAACTCATCAGCTACGCCCCAGAGCTCCAGTCTGACATCTTGGCTCTTATTATCGAGAAACTTGTCAAGGTCGACGTTGAAATTCAGATTGACATGGAGGACTTTGAAGAAGAGGTAGGCGAGGAAATCTTAGATGAGGTTGATGACGAGGAAGATGATGATTCCTCGGTTGCTAGCGATGAATCGGAAGATGACGACACCAAGGGCGCCAAGAAGATCAAGGACAACGTTCTCAAAGTGGATGGGATGATAGATCTCCTTTTTGAATACTTTTCGCCCCCCTTCACCTCGGGTACTCTGGATGATCAGGAGAACGCGTTGGATCTGCTCCTCAGCCACTTCCAAACGATCATCCTTCCTACATACCGATCTCGTCATTCGCAGTTCCTCTTGTTCCATTTCTCTCAGGCCTCGCCTGTGCTCGTCGATCGTTTTGCGTCCACATTTGTGCAGCTCATCTTCAACAAGCTGCAGCCTGGAATCCTGCGCCAGTCAGCAGCCGCTTACCTGGCCAGCTTTGTTGCACGTGGTGCCCATATCTCCGGAGAAGTGGTTCGCGACGTCTTCGATCTTCTCCTCACACATCTTAACAGCCTACGCATGGACTATGAAGACAGCTGCCGCGGTCCTGATCTCCGTCGCTACGGACCTTTCTACTCCACCGCACAGGCCCTTCTGTACATCTTCTGTTTCCGGTGGCGTGATCTGACAACCGCCGCCGTTGATGGTGATACTCCGGACCAGGTGGATGGGCTTGAGCCAGGCCAGATCGCATTCCCTCCCAACATGAAAGAATTCCTTCATAAATGCATTTATTCGCGACTAAACCCACTCAAGGTATGCTCCCCGGCCATCGTTGCCGAGTTCGCCCGCATCGCCCACCACTTCCAATTCCTCTATGTCTACCCTCTCCTTGAGACCAACAAGCGCATTCGCGTCACTGCCTTCAGGAATCTTTCCAATCTTTCAGACCCACGCTTCAGTCATGTCGGCCGTGAGATCCGTGCCGGTGATAACATCGGCTATCAATTGGATGCATACTTCCCCTTCGATCCCTACCAACTTCCTCGCAGCCGTCGCTGGCTAGAAGGCGACTATGTCGAGTGGCGCGGTATTCCAGGTCTTGACGATGCAAACGACTCAGACAGTGGAGCTGACGAGTCCGATGATGAATCGGGCGACGATGTCACCGAGACTGACGAGGAGTGAACTGGACACCATCTTTCTTTCTCGAATTAGGACTTGATTTATAGTTCGGCTCTTTTGTTACTTCAGCGTGGCGTTTGGGATTTCTACCGATACATGCGATCTTTCGATCCAGATTTGATTTGATTTTTTTTTTTTTCTACAAAACAGGGTTTCGATACCTAATGACTGATGATATCGTTCTTCTTGAGCGTGCACGGAACTCTGTGGAATCCCTCCCTTTTTGTCTCGTGTGCTACTCTACTGCCGACAAATCTAGCTTGTTTAAAAAAAAATGGGAAAATGATTTACATGAAATGTCGTGGCCTCTTCGACTGATCTAACAAAGCCAACCGCCTTATAACTCACATGGCTCTATGCAAATTCATATGTACATGAAAAGATATCCCCGATCAGCTCTCCCCGCCATTATGATTCTTCCAACTGCCAGCATAATGATGCTGGACCAAAGATGGACCAGTCACATTCTTATTGCTGTAGGTATTCGACGACGCGGCGAATGAATACCCGGGCAAGATTAAGACATCCTCAACCAAAACGGGCTTTAAGAGGTTTGAGATAGTCGCCATGTCGATGGTCTCATTGCGAACCAGTTCCAAGCTCTTCAAAATCCCACGAGTCAACCGCCTCGGCCCCGTAAAGTCAATCACATCACCCGTCATCTCCAAAGTCAACTCGGAAACAGGAACCCCATACTCCTCCGTCTTTTGGCGAATCCCATCCATGATATCTTCAATCACCATCAACAGATGCGGTGAACTCGGCGCCGCCAGAATGGTCCAACTCTCAAACTGCCGAATAAAATTATCCCCCCAGCCCACATCAAACTCCCACCCAACCACAAGACCAGCTTTAGCGCGCAGCGTCTCAGGAATCCATTCTCTAATGGGTACATCACCACATGAAACATCAAGATCAGCCCAGATGCCACCCTCTGCGAAAAGAAGCAGATAGCGCAAGAAATCCGCTTTCAGGATAGGTACCGACAGCGAGAGATAGGCATGGACAATATCGGGACGATTGTGGTAGTTCTTTTGGACATATTGATCGCCCGTGAGGTCTGTCATGATCTGCGCGCTATGCGCAGGGTTTTTGTGGAGACAATCGTCCAGCCATTCGTGTGACTGGTCGCTCAATCCTTTGGGTCCAACTTTGTACCAGATCTTCTCTGGGATTCGCGGCAGCGCTGGTTGGAGGCCCTTTCTGGATGTGTCAAATTCGGAAGGCCCTGAGGGCCCTTTTGGTGTTTCTAGTCTCATGGGGTGGTAATAGAGGATGAAGAATAGACATGTTAGAATGAAGATGCTTCCGGTTGAGAATTTGGTGAGTGTTCGCCCTTGAGCGAGCATCGTGACTGCGTAGACGACGACAGGGTATAAAAGAGAGAATGATAGTCTAAACGACAGGAAACGCCGTAGACTTGATAGATTAAGGCCGGGAAACGACTGAGATGTCCATCACGATACATTGCCCCCCCCCCTGATTTATTTTTTCGAGCCCTATTTTTAAGTGAGACCTCATTTTATAAAGACCCCTAAAGCCCATTTAAGCGACTAAGACAATTCTGAAATTGGAATTTATCGCTTCTATTGGTTAGATAAACTTGGTACATTAATCTCCACCTCCAACTGAATCCATTCTCTTATTTCCGACTAGCGTTTTGAGGCTGATTTGTGGAGCTCTGAGTTGCCTGACTTCTACGGAGCAATCGTATTTTTTTTTTTTTTTTTCGATTCTCGACCTTGGTGCTATATGTGTGCTGATGGCCACTTTGCTGCTTTCTTGTCAATTCGTCGACACTGTAGACCATCAACATTCGATTCTTCTGTTTCAGAACAGATCCATAGTCTCGGCATCGGCTCCCAAGCTCGTTCTCCACCTTTCAGAGGCCAAGCACCTCCAGTGGAAGAGGAATGTTCACGATGACCAAGTCTATACCCTTGCGAAGCCTTCGCTAGCTTCAAATCGAAGCTTCATTAGCTCTCTCAGTGGCCCCTAGTGACAACCAATAGGCCGCAATAAGACTAGTGTGGGTCATTTAGTGCAAGATGTACTTCGTATATGAAACAACCCAAGATCCACAGGCTCAGGAATTTTCACTTTTAAAATAACATATGCTGTATTTCAGTGCTCTGCTTCCGCAACAGAACGCTCGAGATCGGGGATCTTCTTTCTCCCAATACGAAGTTTCTTCCGGAGATTCAAAGCTCTCATACGGTATGCGCGCTTTCGCCTCCGTGGAGGATAGTTGACCGGACTCTCCCCACCGGTAAAAATAGCCATGTCATCGATCAAGGCCCCAAACAATGCGCCGGTGATGTCTGCGACCCAGGGACCCCAGATCCACCATGCATGGCGTTCTCTGAAAAGATGGCTACTCCACCCCACCACAACGGCAACAAGTCGCGGGCCAAAGTCTCGTGCGCAGTTGAAACAACTCCAAGACCGACCAAAATTAGTTTCATACGCACTTGGAAATTGGAAATTAGGAGTTCAACACATACCCTCCTGTATTACATCCAAGAGCAAGAATTACTATTGTAATGATAATGCCAATAATAAATGCCTGCATTCTCACTCTTGTGGGGGGGGGGGGGATTTGTATCGTCTCCCAGGGCGAGAATAGAACCCACTAAGATTGCGCTGCCAAAAACTCGGTGAAAAACGCAGGATGCACAAGTGATTTTGGCAAGGTGATGAGAGCTTGAGCGGCGACGCTTGCATCTTGGGATACTTTGGCTTGTTTGGCGACTTCGCCAAATAGCATCGTGGTAGATCGCGTATGGGATACCCCCAGCAGTGAGAGTACCGAGGAGCTGAGCAGCAATGTATTTCATACATCGACGCGCCGGGAATCCACGAAATACAGACAGCGAGATGGAGATAGCTGGGTTTAAATGACCGCCAGACATCCCTCCAGTAGTGTAGATAGCGGTCATGAATCCAAAGCCCCAGGCCATACTTTGAGCAGGATATGATCCAGCTTGCCCAGAGGAAGTCAAGTTCGACAAGGTGGCGCAAAGACCAATTATCATTGCCATGGTTGTCTGCGAAAGATGTTGATCAGCACACTCCTTCTTTCTTTCTTTTTTGGCGGGGGACCAAATCGAAAAACTCACTCCAAGCCATTCAGCCATCGGCTCACGAAGATAGTGACGAATTTTCGACCAAGCATTGAAAAATCCATCTTCGTTAGGATCATTGACCTTCTTCATTCGATTTTCCACCGAATGCTGTTTCCGAATTTCATCCATCTGCGCTGGATCCTCGTCATTCTCTGTCATGGCACTTGGATCCTCCTTTCGATCCTCTGGCAAGGCGTTATGACGCATGCCAGGCCGGACAATATATGAGGGAGGGGCTCAGCTAAACTCCAGGTTGGACCATCATCTCCGTGGTGGTATTGAGGATTGTACTGCTCATACTCTACATCTGTTTATCCTCGGTTGTTGTTCGGATTCTGTGCACCAGAGCCTACCAAACTATACGAAGGATTGTTGCCCATGGCATCATTCTTGCTTCCTTCCTCTTCGGTGCCTTCTGGTTGCTCTTGTCCAGGGACTTCCACGACATCTATCGCTGTTAGTGTTACTGTCGGTTCACAGCGATCTTTTCAATCCTCTGTCATACCTTTGACCTCGCCTTGAGATCGCCCGATACAATCCGCCTACGAAAACTTGACGTGCTTTTCATACAACGTTTCCTTTTATCCTTGAAAATCTGGGTTGGAAACTTGTTTCTTCAGCTTACTAACCGGGATTAAACTTAGTAGGAGAGCATACAAACCCTCTTTCAACTGCCTGCCCTTCTAGCGTCAAGTCGAAGGACATGGCCCCCACACACCGCCATCAACGGAAGGTATTGTCTCGCTTCTGGGGCTGGTTGTGCGCCGAGAGCCTTACTGGAAGGAGCGTAGATCGAAGTCTGTTTATGCTTTTTCCAGTGTGTTGCTAAGATCTTTGCCTGTGTGTGTATTTGGTGTATATGGAATCAGGAGAGAGTGTGGCTGTATTTCTTTCTTTTTCTTCGTTGATGAGATCGATAATTAGAGCTTCTGCCATGCTGCTACAGGGCTTCGATGGGACCTTGAATTGCTCGTTAGGGGACTAGATAAAACTTGAGACAGACACGGAGTAGACCTACACTGAATCACGGCAGAGCGTCCATCGATGGCTTCTCGGGGGGTATGGAGCATGCCAGTCCCACTATATTAGATGTTTCTAGTGATCTCTACAGCCAGGCTTCTTCGACACTCTGTCTTCTTTTTCTTTTGCCTCTCCAATTAATTGAGGGATGTCTTTGAAGAGGGAATCATGAGAGAACGACTTGGCTAGCCTTCGCGGTGGTTGTTGTCACGCGACGGGTTCATGTCGAGTCGAATGAAGTCATTCAGGGCCACGAGGCATCGACGAATCCGGGGGTCACAGAATGACTGGGGATTCCCTGCGCGCAGGTGCCGATCAACCAATTGCGATTCGCACCGCCTCAACCCCTATACGCACAAGGGTGTTCACATCGCATCCGAATAGTTCTGATCTGATTCTATCCCTTACATTCCGCTATAATATGTATCAAGTGTGAGAAGTTCCGATGGGTGTATCATCGTATCATCTCAAGAAAGTGAGGACGATCTGGGGTAAAGGTTGTACTCCTATCTTGGTTAATAGACATGTGCAGAGACTGCATCTACGATGGATCCCGATCAAATTTCACAATTTGACAGCATCTGTGAGGCCTTTGCGGCTGTTGATAGTAACCCTCAAATTGAAGATTGATCTCTATTTTTATCTTTTCTCATATCTCATCATTCAGGTCCAGAATTTAGAAGGGACAAGTGGAATAACCGAGGCGATTTTCTATCATAGAGACAGATTGGCTGATACAAAGAATGTAGTCATTGTGATGGTCAACTCTTACTAGACCAATGTTTTAGCCGTTGAATGGGCGAAGCAGATCATTCATGGATTCGGAGGTGACCCCGAACGAAGTGCTACATCTGCCCAGTTAGGAAGTGGGTCTTCAGGGGATGTCCAGTGCCGGAGAAAGCAGAATGCGAGTGCCACTCTTGCCGCGGCTAGTGCAGGGCTCCGACTACAAGCCGTGTGAGGGAAAACCCCCCAGCTTTCCATCCCACTATGGACGATATAACTGATTGTTGTACTTTTCTTTCGCAGCAAGAGGAGTTCGCCCGCATGGTGAGTGGGCTCTTCTGCATCTCGAACATCTGGGTGGGTCAATTTAGCTGCGAACGATCGCCTGCCCCACAAACAGCCCTACTTGATCGGGGCACAACTTCAATGACGCGGATTTCTACAAAATTGCGGCCTATGCCCCGGGATCGACATTGACAGACGAGCAGTGGGTTGACGGCAATGTGCAAACGTTCTTCGGCCCATCCGATCTCGAGGCAGCACATCGAAGTCGCCGACAGACACCAGTGTGGCAATTTCCATAAAACGCCGGTTGGGAGAATACCCACCTGGACCCCACTAGTGGGGCAAATAATGGGGTCGAGTTCAACATGATCTTTGGAGAATCTGCTGAGATTTTTGTGCTTGTTGAGACCGATGCACCGCACCAGCTGCAGGCTCAAATGAGTTCAGCGTGGGGCTCATTCATCGCTGATCCTCAACACGGACTGAAAGCCCAGGGATGGCCAACCTAGGATCCGCAAGGTGAGTGCACACAGACTCGATCAAGAGGACAAGTTTTTAAACTTCCTTTTAGCTTCAATCCGTGCTGAAATTGGTCTATGTAACCATCCAGGCCTGTCTTTCATAGACACAAAAGACTCCGCTCAGCTGTATGCAGCTTTGCTCGCGAAAGTATGAGTCAACTTGATATTGCTAGGGTCGGGTGCTTTCCGGATGAGCTTTTCCCTAGACTAGGAAGAATTGGCAGAAGAACTCTGGCAGATGCGTTGGTAGCTGTTGCGCGTCGCGATCTGCATTAGGCTTTCAGTGGAGAGTTGAGATGGACGAGATAGATCAAGTCTCCAACCAGTGTCATCTGATAAGACAGCTAGAGCTGTACTGTATCTATTTATGAGTACATACATTTATACAATCTGGAATAAGTTGAGAAGGTGACAGGAGGATACAAATATCAAACAACGCTATGTACAGCCGACGCCGTGAATGCCAGTTCAAAAACCAAAGTCAAGTCCCACAGTGCTAATGAAAACTAGAAATCAGAGGTCCAAAGTCCAAACAAAGAATTCCCATCACCGGTCGAAGATCGCCTTCATATCGGCACAGGCATCGCGGTACAAGATATCCACGCTATTTTGGTCCCGCCAAGGATTGGGTGACTTATCCCATGCATGTCGGGCTTTCTCGATGAGCATAGCACGGGGGCGTTTGCCGAGGGTCTCCAAGCGGCGAACAAAAGATTGGCCCTCGTTCATCAACATATCCCACTCGCAGATGAAGAAAAACACGTCGCGGGGCAGAGCGTCAGACAGCATACGGTCGGATGCGTGGATTGGAGAAGCAAATGGGGAGACCCGTTCGTCTAAATCAGGAAGATAGGCATCATCGAAGAGGGTGGTGAAAAATGCAGGGAGAGTCTTGTCCGGCATCAGACTCATCGCACGACGGTGGTCGCGAGATTCTTCAAAGTCTAGAATTGGGTACCAAGAGAACAAAGCAACGATGTTGAGATCGCTGACCTGATTGAGCAGATTTTGTGTGGATTCGGCTCGACCCATGTTCTCCTTCACTTCCGTAGATATTCTGCCACGCAGCCGCAAAGGCACTGTAACAGCCAGGTTGCCGCCTGCCGAGAAGCCACTCAGCGCGACCCGGCTCACATCCAGCCCTAGTTCGCTGGCATGGGTTGCCAGATATAGAAGTGCCTCGACTCCGTCGTCTACGGCCGCAGGAAAGCGGTGTTCTGGGGCTCGTCGGTAGGCGACACTCACCATTACGGCGCCAACGTTGTCCAGCACTGATTTCGCCCATCGAGAATCATCCGTAGCGGCACCCAGTGTGAAACCACCACCGTGGAAGTTGACGGCCACGGGGAAGCGATGGCCTAGCCTTCGCTGTTCATGATAATTTGGTGGACAGTAAAAGTGTAGCACGACGGGATGGGAAGAGTCGGAGGTGATGGTACGAGTGAACAACGGTCGGGGTGGTCGGGGTGCGATCTCATGTAGGAACATGCCGATGCGCATCAGGAACCGCCAAAAGATGGCCTGCACATAGAGCCACCAACGAGATGAGGCCATGATGCTGCAGTAGAAAGTAATGTTCGTCCTACCAATTTGGCATGCGCATCGGATGAACCCGGAAGCCGACGGTGATAGGACGGGGTAAGACCGTAAAGCCGTAAAACCAGGTGGGAGAATTGAGATTAAGGAAGGCAGAAGGAAGAATAAAGTCAAAGATGATGCTGAGGGAATTAACCAAAAAAAAAAAAAACGAAACGACTGAGCGCCGGAGTAATAGAAGAATAAAGTCCTGGAGTCCACTTCAGATGAAAGATCAAACAATGGTCAGTTCTCCCAAGGGCTCCATAACCAAAGACAATCAGGGTTTCTTGGGGTTCGGATGATGTCATCACACCTTTTCTAGCCCTAGATCCAAATTTCTTCTTTTGTGATTCTTCTTTTTTTTTCTTCTTTTTTTTTCAAATTTTTGAACGAATTGGTTCCATTTCGATCTTCCTTTCCACCTCAGTGTTTTACTCCTTTTTTTTGGTTTTGGACTTACGTTGGCCTCGGAACTCGGGATTTCCCTAAAGCACTGAGGACTCCAGGGACTTCCAAGGTTTCAAAACTATTGGAAATCGCCCGTTCCGGCTACCCCCACTTCTCTTTCGTATATATACAAACTTCCTCTTCTTTCTCTTTTCCACTCTCATAAACCTGACCATGTCGATTAAACGTGCCCTCTCTAAGGCCATCAGAGGACACTTGGGAGGTGATGATGACTCCTCCGGGTCCAACATTCGTTCTGCCCTGCCACCCAGGATTCTTCCCTCCCAATCTCGGTCTGGTTCCCCCACCGCATCCCCTCGTCGCAGCATTCTCGGCAACTTCCTACGGGATAAGAATGAGTACATTTCTTCATCCGACGATGTCTCTGACGACTCATCCTCCGGTGGCTTGAGTAAAAACCAACAAAAGCGGTTGGTGCGTCAGCACCGTCGAAGTGAGCGCAGTCGTCTCAGCGAGGAGATGTTCTCCGAGACTGACCGCCGCCACAAGGAAGAGGAGGTTGCCAAATCCGCAGCCGAGGAGACGCCTGAGATGAAAGCGCGGTATGGTGAGCTTCCCTTGATGCAGTCAGCCACTCGAACAGGAGAACTGCGGACTCGGATCGATGACATAACTCTTGCCATGGAGGGACAGCAAGTGTTTTTCAGCGCACGACTGCACGTCATTCGTCGAATGAGTGCCAAGCTAGTGTTCTTGGTATTCCGCCAGCAGCTAGGTACCTTCCAAGGTGTTTTGCATGAGCGGGCGGGGATCTCGTCTCTCGCCATGATCCAGTGGGTCGAGCATCTTCGAGTGGGCTCTTTTGTCACGGTCCGCGGCACTATACAGAAACCCGAGGTTCCAGTTTTGGGCTGCTCAATTCATGACGTTGAACTGGCCGTGGACTCGGTTCACCTCCAGGTTCGCCGCGAGGAACCTGTCCCCTTCAGTGTCTACGAGGCAGAGATTCGGACCAAGGAAGAAGAAAAGGCCGAGGGCCGCCGTAACCATATCCCTGATCGGACACGTTTGGCCAACCGAATCCTTGACCTTCGCACGTCAACATCGCAATCCGTCTTCCGTATCCAGTCTGCAACATGTAATTTGTTCCGTGTTGCCCTTGACGACCGTGATTTTATCGAAATCCATACCCCGAAGCTGCAAGGCGCCGCTACGGAGTCTGGAGCGAGTGTCTTCCAAGTCAACTATTTCGGCCGCCCTGCATTCCTTGCTCAGTCTCCTCAATTGGCAAAGCAGATGGCTATCGCAGCTGATTTCGGTCGTGTCTACGAGATCGGTGCTGTTTTCCGTGCCGAAAACTCCAATACTCACCGCCATCTTACAGAATATACTGGATTGGATCTTGAGATGGCTATCGATGAGCACTACCACGAGATGCTTGAGACTCTTGATGCTGTGATAAAGAATATCCTCAAGGGTATCTACACCAAATACCGCCGCGAGGTTGAGCTTGTCAAGTACCAGTTTCCCTCCGAAGATGTCGTGTGGCTGGAAAAGACGCCGATCATTCGTTTCACCGATGGTATCAAGATGTTGAATGACTCGGGCTGGTTGAATGAAGACGGCGAGCAGCTACCTTTAGACGAGGACCTGGGTACCCGTGATGAGATTCGCCTGGGTGAACTTGTCAAGGAGCAATACGGCACCGATTACTACGTCCTTGACAAATTCCCTCGCGGTGCCCGTCCCTTCTATACGATGCCCGACGCCGAAGACGACAGGTACACCAACTCTTTTGACATGTTTATTCGTGGACAAGAGATCGTCTCGGGTGGTCAACGTATCCACGATGCCCACATGCTCGAGGAAAACATGCGTCGTGTGGGCATCAACCCGGATGATATGGAGGAGTATCTGGAGGGCTTCCGCTGGGGCGCCCCGCCTCACGCGGGCGCCGGAGTTGGCCTGGAACGAATCGTGATGCTTATACTTAAATTGGGCAACATCAGATTGACATCACTGTTCCCTCGCGACCCCAAGAGTCTGCCAGCGAAACCTGTCTCTGAACAGCTCCGCCATCCAGAATCATCTACTATCGAACCACCGTGGCACCGCGAGCACAAGGCCCGGGTAGCTTCAGATCCCAGTGAGCTGCAGCCTCTGGAACATTTGGTCGCTAATTACGGCGATGCCACATCCACCTCCTGGTTTGATGACCGCTTTAAGATCTGGCGTGACATGGCAACTGGTGCAGCTGTCGCCTACGTGCCCAGCTCCAGCAACTTTGCCATCATTCCGGGTAACCCGGCCTGTGACCCAAAGCAGTACACACGCACAATTACACAATTCTTGCAATGGATGCGCCGCGAGACCAAGTACAAGCCCGTGTGGATCCTCTGCTCTCCTGAGGTTGAGACTATACTTGGCGAGCGACTAGGCTGGCGCAGCCTGTCCTGTATCGCCGAAGAGCGCGTTGACCCATCGCGCAACCAGGCCGCTTCTGACGGCGAGATTGCACGTAAGCTGCGTCGCGCTGAAACCGAGGGCATTAAGCTGGTCTCCATGAACCAAGGCGAGATGGTACCAGACGATATCCGCAAGAAGATTGACGAGCGTATCAGCGAGTGGCTATCCAACCGCAAGGGCACGCAAGTGCACCTGTCCCTGATCCGCCCATGGTGCGACTCGGAGCACCGTTGGTACTTCTACGCTCTGGACAAGAACGGCATCGTCTGCGCCTTCGTCGCTTTGGCTATGCTATCTCCTGCCCACGGCATGCAAGTCAAGTACAGTCTTGATTTCCCGGGCGCACCCAACGGTGCTATCGAATATATTGTCACGCATGCAATCCAGACCGCCGCCAAGAGTGGCGTCAAGGGTCTCACATTTGGCGCTGGCGCCACTTCCCAGCTCACCGCTGGCCACAACATGCACGGAACCAAAGTCAAGATGCTGGAGCATACCTACGAAGCCCTCGCTAAGCAGTTCCATCTTGTGCGCAAGAGTGAATTCCGGGCTAAGCTCGGCGCCACTGAGGACCCGCTGTACATCTCCTACCCGACCCACGGCCTGGGCTCCAAGGGTATCCGTGCGATCCTGAACTTCTTTGAAGATTAAGATTAAGCTACGTTATTTGTTATGGCTGAGCCATTCATGGTGCTACGATTTAACGGGAGTTTTGTGTGATCTTGTCGTTTGATCTAGATGGCAGTTCGTGGGCGCTTATGTTGAATACACTGGCATAAATGTTTATCGGATTCTCGGAGACACTTAGAAAGAGGAAATAAGGGAGGGATATTCGGTTGCAATACACGTTGTCGCTGGACTTTTGTTTTTCTTCTTGCTTTCTTTGCCTTTTTTCCCCTTGTTGCCTCCAAACACTGCCCATGGTTTTGTTTTTTGTTTTTTTTTTCAAGTCCCCATTGCCGTTGCTCATCCTGTATCCAGCACGCCCCCAAGGATCTGATTTTGCCGCTTTAGCCTCTAATTGTGCTTGTAATGCTATCTCAAAATTTTGCCTTTTGTGTCTCCCTTGATCTTGTTCGTCTGGGTCTTGGGTTCTACATTGGGCATGTGCACAGCCTTGTCCTTGGAACGAGTCAAAATGTAGAGTCCATGTCATAGAACTCTTGTTTGAGACACACGGTTAATTGAGCTTGGCTGCTCACTCTTCACAACAGTGCTCTGGATTTTATTTGATCCTTTTGTACAAACCAACTCTCACCGTCATCGATATGTAGTTACCATGAGTTTTTTTACAAGCAGTCACCACAAAGACCACGTTAGATCTCCGCCTAGCAACGAAGAGATACTTCTTGATAGTTTTCTCGTCATGTTTTATGCTCAGTCCAATCGTACATCTCCAACCCAATACACAACACCCTCACCAACTCATTTCTTCTTCATCTCCTCCAAAACACTTTGCCTTCTAGCATCATCCACTGCTCTCCCAACCTCCTTCACCACCCATCTCCCCAGCACTGCCGCAAAAAGAGCAACAAGCACAATCCACCCAGCAGTCGGCACCAACGAGCGTGGGAAAACATTCAACAAAAATGGATCAAGAATCAAATCCACCGCTACGGGTGGAACATTCTGCATCAATGCCTGATCGGTGCTAAAATAATCTGCTGTGGCCTGCACATGCAGAAACAGGACCGAGTCACTGGTCGGCGCAGGGTCGAGCGGATCTTTGCTACTGCGTAGATTAGCACGGCGTGGGATGACATTTCCCTGGAGCTTGGGGTCTAGTGTAGCGAGTCGGTTTGCTGTGTACAAGCTCAGCGAAGACAGGAGATTCGTGTCTGAGATGGTTTTTGAGAGCGAGTAGGTGGTGAGGGTGAATTTTGTCGGTTGCTAGGGGGGTGTTAGTTCTATTCATGTGTGGCAATTGGCATTATATGTAAAGGAATAGAGAGAGATATATAGAGGGTTGGGGGAGGGGGATGGAGGGGCGGAGGGATTAGCGGATGGTCTTACTGTAGCTAGCCAGCACACTCGTACTTCATACCGCTGGCCTGGGTTCAGGTTTTCAAGGAAGAACCACGAGTCTGTACCGTCGGGGGCGGCTGTCGTTGGGAATGTTGCATTGAGATGAGTGCGCACCACGGGCCTCTGTGGTGATAAACGCTCCAGGCCTAGGTCGTCTAGATCTGGCTCGCCAGAAGGAACGGTTGCCGGTGCTGGAGCTAGGAAAATGGTCTTTTCCACGTTTGCTTGCGCCACTGCTGTGAAGAGGGAGAGAATGAGTCCCAGAGTGGGAAGGAGTTGAATCTGCATGATGAGAGATTTGATGCTCAGCAATGCAATGAAGGGAGATATTGAAGTGGATGAGATGGTGCTTCAGTGATGTTTTATTCTCGGCTCATGACGAGACTTCGGCAGTTTCTCACGCTGATAGTGCTGGACTTCAATTAGCATCCAAATGTTGATCATGTAAGTCTGGAACTATATACAGTACTGAAGTATGCTGTCTTAGTACGGAGTACTTTGGCTGTAATCTGGCTATGATATGGTCGAATGGTAACTCGGGGTGGTTCCCCCCGAGTGGATCCGACTATTCAAATAGCTCCAACACCGTTATCACACCACACCACCCTTGAGAAGTTGACCACTTGAGCACTACAACATAGACAAACGTGATATATTTGTGAACTCTGTAATTCCCCCTTTCAACTCTTCAAGCCTTAAATCTGTTCTTCTTAGTGCTCACATCTTACATTGTACTGATGACTGTATCACGTGCAATCACGAGACTAGTACGAGGCGGTCAGTAACCGCTGCTCCTCACCGGGAAGGAGCCAATCAACTGGCCCAACGCGACCCAACGAACGGATCAGCAACGAAGTTCCCCCTGTACAGCACAGACGGCTCCTCCTCCACAACATTTCTGGTTGACTTCGTTTTCCCTTCCATCTTCTCGCCCATTTCTCCATTCTTCAGGTAAGGCTACCCCCGCCCCCTTCCATCGTGCATCTCAGTGTCAGTTCAAACCTAACTGAAAGTTTCAGACCACCGCGTTTGTTGTTTGGGTTTCATTTTCCCCTCCTGATTTTTAGCCTGAAAAAACATCGACTCGATCACAATGAGAGAGATTATTAGTTTGAACGGTATGTCAACATTATTCATCTATTCTACTTGTCAGAATTGACCTCTTTTTTTCAATGGATGCGCTGACATGTTCGTTCTCTACAGTCGGCCAGGCCGGTTGCCAGATCGCCAACTCCTGCTGGGAGGTAATTATCCATCACTCATGAAGGGACAAATTATCGGTAAACTGACAGCATCGATTTTCTAGCTGTACTGTCTGGAGCACGGTATCCAGGTATGTTTAAATTTCAATCAACCTCGTGGTGGCGCCCAATCTTGACTCAGGCACCCGTACCCCTATTTTCTTTGCCGAGAGGTAAACACCCGCGACTAACCCGGATGATAGCCCGATGGATTCCTCACTGAGGAGCGCAAGAAGGCCGACCCCGATCACGGATTTAGCACCTTCTTCTCTGAGACTGGTATGAAAACCCCGTTTTTTTTTCCCTTCAATGTCCCCCCCGCTTTGATGTGCAAAATTCCAAATCAAAGCTTCCTAACATTCTTTCTCCCCCACTTGACAGGCCAGGGCAAGTACGTTCCCCGTACCATCTACGCCGATCTCGAGCCCAATGTTGTCGATGAGGTCCGTACCGGTACCTACCGCTCGCTCTTCCACCCCGAACAGATGATCACCGGCAAGGAGGATGCTTCCAACAACTACGCCCGTGGTCACTACACCGTGGGTAAGGAGATGATCGATGAAGTTCTTGACCGCGTTCGTCGTGTTGCCGATGCCTGTGCTGGTCTCCAAGGTTTCTTGGTCTTCCACTCCTTCGGTGGTGGTACCGGTTCCGGTTTCGGTGCTCTCTTGATGGAGCGTCTGTCCGTCGACTACGGCAAGAAGTCCAAGCTGGAGTTCTGCGTCTACCCCGCTCCTCAGAACGCTACCGCCGTTGTTGAGCCCTACAACTCCATCCTCACCACTCACACCACCCTGGAGCACTCCGACTGCTCCTTCATGGTCGACAACGAGGCCATTTATGACATTTGCCGCCGCAACCTCGGAATTGTGCGCCCCAGCTACGAGAACCTGAACCGCCTGATCGCCCAGGTCGTTTCCTCCATCACTGCTTCCCTGCGTTTCGACGGTTCCCTCAACGTCGATCTGAACGAGTTCCAGACCAACTTGGTGCCTTACCCCCGCATCCACTTCCCCCTGGTCGCTTACTCTCCCATCATCTCCTCTGACAAGGCCGCCCATGAGGCTCACTCTGTCACCGAGATTACCTCCAACTGCTTCGAGCCTCACAACCAGATGGTCAAGTGTGACCCCCGCAACGGCAAGTACATGGCCACCTGTCTTCTCTACCGTGGTGATGTTGTCCCCAAGGAGGCCCACGGTGCCGTGGCCACCCTCAAGACCAAGCGCACCATCCAGTTCGTCGACTGGTGCCCTACTGGCTTCAAGCTCGGTATCTGCTACCAGCCTCCCCAGCAGGTCCCCAACGGCGATCTCGCCAACCTCAGCCGTGCTGTGTAAGTTTTTCCTCTGATTCGTCTGGGCCTTGGGACCTAATTACAGACTTCGATACTGATTATATTATAGCTGCATGCTGTCCAACACTACCGCCATCGCCGAGGCCTGGTCCGCTCTCGACCACAAGTTCGATCTCATGTACTCCAAGCGTGCCTTCGTTCACTGGTACGTTGGTGAGGGTATGGAGGAGGGTGAGTTCTCTGAGGCTCGTGAGGATCTCGCTGCTCTGGAGCGTGATTACGAGGAGGTCGCCTCTGACTCCATCGAGGGTGATGAGGAGCTGGAGCCTGAGTACTAGATTAGTCATGTTTTGTGACTGGTCTTCGGGACTCTTGGTTGTTTCACTTCTACGGGTTGGTTTGGGGACCAACGTGAGTCCAGAGGGTCGGTCCTCATGCGTCTATTGGGCTTCTTGCAAATAGAAGGGAACATAAGTTTTGCTGCCAATGGTTTTCTGGCTTTGTTGTTCGATATATCTTTAATATCCCTGAAGTAGCGATGAAATATCCCCTTGTTCCATCCAACTTTTAGGGTTTCCACATACGTATGCCATTTTATTACTGTCGAAATCGTCTTTTTTGATCTCATAACACGTGCAAGTCCAAAGTAGCTGGTTGAATGTCGACGCGTGCTGCCGCTATGTCGGAGATTGAACAAGTGTCTCGGGCATCAATTTTGATCATCATGCATCCAGTTTTACACTGTAAAATTTTCAAAATAAGAGGCAGTATATCTTTTCAGGGCGTATGAGAGGAGATTCGCAATCAAGCCCGTCATAGTTAGTATATACATATGCAAACAAATATATTTATATGGGAAAGTTTGGTTTCGTTGTTCCGTGGTAAGTTTGTCCCCGGGATTGTAGGGACTGGTACGCGATAGCATTGGCTGTCTATCTGCGTCAGGGGCAGTGACACTGCCGCCGCCTATCTTCCCCCGAAGTCCAATCTGAGTCGAGACGTTCTGAATGCTGGTTCAATTCAGATTGAAAATACAAAATTCGAGAAAGACACTACAAAATCGCTTGTGGCTTGAGGGCCTTGAGACCATGCATAACCCAGACGGCAATACAGCTAAGTAAAGGCCAGCAGGGGACTGGGCTCTCGTATGGCTTTGACTGTAGGTTTCAGGGTAAGACATTCAAATCCACATCGTACGGATGTCACGGACAAAAGGCGAGTTTTTTGGTCGAACAAATATGTTGTAGACTGGATTTTCTGATGCTGGCAAATGATATCCGGCTTCTACGTTGAATTGTCAATGAGACATTGTCCTACCTTCAAAACGACCTTGAAAATACACATAACTTAGGGGTTCAGGCATCTTTGATAGCCGGGCCAGGAATTGCCAAGGTTGATTTCATGCAACGTCTATAGTTCCGGCTATTTCTATAGGATTTAGTGTATCATGCCAGATCACGCCCCCTGGATATTGTTTTATGGGGAATTACTGAAGACCTTTGCTTAATTTCCTTTTTTTTTTTCTACGTACTGTAGCTAGGACATCTTGTCAACGTCGCTCTCGTTGATGTGTACCTCACAAATAAAGATTCGAAATTTCTCTAGTGAGAAAGAATTCGCGTGGAAGAACCTGTCAACTGGTAGACTCTAGAATATATCAAAATGTTTCAATTGCTCTTTGTAGTTGGCATCCTTTCCTCCTTTCAGGGCGAGACTACGTGTTGGGACCGGGATGGGCGCTAAACCAACTGACCGCCTTGAGAACCCCAGGAACCTTCCCTACGACATCGACTCCAGCCACTCTCTATCCTCATTTTTGAAGTTGATTTTTCTCCTTGGAGCTCGAGATCTTTCACGTCTCGTATCCTTGCCGTCTCTGCCAAATACTGCGCTTCGCTCATGCTTGTCGCATATTCAGACTAAGCTGACAGCATCCCGTGTCTCCAACTTGTCCCTCAAGGCCCCCAAATATTGTGAACTTATTGGAAGGCGGGGAGTTAAGCTCCTCCTAGGATACAACAATGGCTGATACTAGTGAGTGATTCTTAATAATTCTTGTCTGACCCAAAATGAATTGCAGGAGAGCTTCGGCGCACTCTTGGCTCGCCGACCTCCGTCGTCACCACCCCTCCCCTTCACACACCCGCACTAGTTATGCGCAACCCGGCGGAACTGACGGATCATTCTTTTCTAGCACAACGACACCCGAACCTTCACCTCACTCCTGAGGAAAAGCGCGTTTTCTTTCAGCTTTTCCAGGCTGCTGATACCACCAATCTCGGCGTCATCACCGGTGAAATCGCCGTTCCATTCTTTGAGAAGACTCACCTATCCCCTGATACTCTTGGCCTGGTACGTGGATATGGCATGGGTGTTGGATCGCAGAAGGGGGTGTCATGGCTAATTATTGGTGGTGCAGATATGGCAAATTGCGGATAAAGAGAACAGGGGTCTCCTGACCCCGTCTGGCTTCGGCATTGTTCTGCGGTTAATTGGACATGCCCAAGCTGGCCGTGCACCTTCCGATGAGTTGGCTCTACAATGTGAGTGATCATCACTTCAGAGAAGTGAAACTTTTACTGATCCCGCATCTACTTTACAGCTGGCCCTCTGCCTCGATTTGACGGAATTGTGGTCGACACAACGGCAAACATCCCGGAATCGAGAACCAAAAGCCCAACACCTGGACCTGCTGGACCTATCCGTGTTCCTCCACTTCAGCCGGATGATGCAAACAAGTTCGTCTCGCTGTTCGAGAAGTCGGACGTCAAGAATGGGATGATCTCAGGTATGTAGCTCTTCACTACTGACAATGTGTCACCAAATCTAACATGTTTGCTGTTTGATCTATAGGCGAAATTGCAAAGCAGATCTTTGAACGCGCCCGGCTCCCAAATGAAGTCCTGGGTCGCATCTGGTTCTTGTCCGACACCAAGCAGCGAGGTGCCTTGGATGCCACTGAATTTACCATTGCCATGCACCTTCTGACGTCATACAAATCTGGCGCGCTGCGCGGCATTCCAGCGACCCTCCCACCTGGTCTATACGATGCGGCAGCTCGAAGGGGATCCGCCGCACGAGCGTCTTTTGCGGCGAGACCCGATGTGCCCCCTATCCCGGCCATTCCCCAGCAGTTCACTGGCCCTCAGCGAACCGCAAGCCCTATGAACCAGGCCAATCGCCCGCCTTTTGTAGGCTCTCTTTCCGCTCAGGCCACCGGGGGTGACTGGTTGATCACCCCACAAGAGAAGGCCCAGTTTGATAGCATTTTTGAGACTGTTGATACAGCCAAGTTGGGACTCATTACTGGAGACCAAGCTGTCGCTTTCTTCATGAAGGCCCAGCTTCCCGAAGAAACCCTTGCTCAGATCTGGGACCTTGCGGATATCGACGCAGATGGCCAATTGAGCCGGGAAGAGTTTGCCGTCGCTATGTATTTGGTGAGATTGCAGCGTAGCGGCAAGGAGCCCCTGCCGCAAGTGGTTCCGCCCGCCCTGGTCCCTCCTAACATGCGCCGCCAAGTGCCTGCACCAATGGTAGCCCCCACACCTCCTCCGGCGCCCGCCCCCGCTGTACGGACAGCTGCCGATGATTTGTTTGGCCTCGATTCGCCCGCGCTGCCATTCGCCCAGCCTCAGATGCCTCAGTCTACCGGAGGTTCCAACCATGCTTTCCAAACCCCTGGCTCGCCTTCCTCTAGGGCATCTCCTCAGACGGCATCGCATACCTTCAAGCCTTTTGTACCAACTTCTACATTTGGCCAGAGCTTACAGCCCCAGATCACTGGTGCGTCAGCCGGAATTCCCACAAATTTCCGCTCTCCCCCGCCTCCGTCAGATGATCTCCTTGGCGACAATGACCCCGAAGAATCAAACAAGTTGACGAACGAGACCACCGAGCTCGCGAACTTGTCCAACCAGATTGGTTCTCTGGCCAAGGAAATGCACACTGTACAAGAAAAGAGGACCACTGCTGAACAAAATCTTACCCAAACTTCGCAGCAGAAGCGTGACTTTGAGGCGCGTCTTGCACAGGCACGGTCAATGTACGAGCAAGAGGTTGCGAATTTTAAGGCACTCGAGGAGCGCCTCAAGTCATCAAAGGCAGAGACACAGAGACTGCAGCAGCAATATGCATTGCTGGACGGCAGCCGCCACGATCTGCAAAACCAATACACGCAAGTTTCGACAGCTTTGGCTAGCGATGAGCAGGAGAATGCCAGTCTGAAGGAGAAGATCCGCCAGGCCAACGCCGAAGTTGCCCAACTCAAGCCAGCACTGGAGAAGGCACGATCTAGTGCGCGTCAACAGAAGGGTCTTGTTGCGATCAACAAAAAGCAATTAGCTACGGTCGAAAGCGAACGGGACAAGCTCCAGGGGGAAATTGACGGTCTGGCTCGTGAGACTCTACAACATTCCGAGGAATTTGCGACGGCCGGCAGTGTGTCCGAGGTTGTAAGCCCTGCTGCCTCTACGGCAAGCCAAAACACAAACCCGTTCTTCCGTCGAACAGGTAGCTCGAGTGAACAAGCACGGTCCCCCGATGTCTCAAATGACCAGCAAAGAGCATTTGACAGCTTCTTCGGACAGTCATTTGCAGCTGTCCCTGCTGCCGGACCACCACCCACTTCGTTCCGTTCCGAGTCGCCGCAGGTTGCGGTCACATCTCCTGTTGCATCTGCTGTTCCGACCCCATCAGTCTCTCCCCCGCCTGGCTCTTTGCCTGGCGCATTCCCTGCGGGGCCCTTCTCTGAGCCACCGCCTGCGAGCCAGTCTCGACAACTGACCCCAAACTTTTTGCAATTTAAGGATAACCAGTCTGTGACTTCGTCTACTATGGTTTCGCCTCCCGCCAGTCGATTTGGCGGCCCCGAAACCTCTGGATTCGATACACCTTCCCAAGCGGCTACTAGTGACTATGGACCTCAATCAGTGGCGGAATCTAGCGACTATAGTCGTGCACCAACCTCAACTCTTGGAGGTACCCCAGCACGGTCTCCGTTTGAGGAGGAAGGGCAAGACACATCGGCTGGGGTCCCCGAGGTCCCAGCTGCAGCTTCTCAGCTGCCCGAATCTGCAACATCCCCTATTGCCAATGAGAGCCATGTCGAAAGCAGCAAGGACCTCAGCTTTGATGAACTGTTTGGCAGCAAAGCACACAAACGGTCGGAATCCCAGCAAGGTAACGACTTCGAGGAGGCGTTTGCTTCTATGAAGCCCGTAACTGGAATTGAGCACACGAATGGATCCGTATCAGCCCGTCCATCTGAATTCCCCCCTATCCAAGAGCTACACCATGACGACGACGACGATGAGAGCTCTGATGACGAGGGTGCTTT